TGGTGAAAAAAAAATTGAGTTTAATGTAGTATTTTTTTTCATAAAGGAATATTAAGACATTTTTTTTCTGTGGAAAACTTTTCTATACCAGCAATTTTACTCCTATTTATAATGATAACAATGTTTCTAAAAGAAAAACCGACTAGGGAGGTACTTTAGAGAGATCATTTTTCGATTTATTATAGGAGTTTTCTCATCAAATTTGAAAAAACGTAGGAAAAACGGGAAACTATAAGAACTATATGTACTTATATATTTCTTAGTATATTAATTAAAATATATTACGATTTTTTTTTTCTGTGCACAACTTTTTTACCAATAATTTTATTCCAGTTTGTCACTGTCCGACAACGCTCTCCATTGATGGATACGGCTGCTCCAAGCATCTCCTTCGAAAAATTCCGGTCCAATGATTGTTTTGTAAAAATTCCGGTCCAAAAAGTCACGCGTTGATTGTTAAGAGGTTGATTGTGGATTAATTGAGGATTTTCATTGGCGTAGAAGTAACAATTTTGTTTATTTACGACCTCATTCAATCTTAAACATTTTGAAAATTGATGGGAAATGTCGAAAAACGAGAAATGTCATTCGCTCTGAAGGCAACTATTTAGGCGATATTATTTTTAAGAAGTAATCGGAACGAATTTCCAAAATAAACGAAAAATTATTCAAAATTTATAATTTTTTTTTTTATAAAATTAATACCAACAAATATTCTGAATGTTTAAATGACTCACCCTGTATGATAATAATAATAGTAATAATAATTTACAGTCTAAGATCAATTCTTCGAATAGATTGCCTCAACATTAAGCACTGAATCTGGTTTAACTTCAATGTCTGTATGTATGTTTAAAGTGGCCATTCTATTAAGTTTCTGTTATCCTGTAGTGTTTTTAAATACGTTTTTAGTCTCCTCAAGTGTAGAACATGATCTTTATGACGATAATTGTTATCACTTATTCATACACGATGTTACAACATTATGTTTCAAATCGGTATGAAAATCATACAACTATGTGTTACGTAAAATTCGTAAAAAACTAACAAACGTATTTCGGGGGGTCACAACCCCCAACCCCTCTCTAGTTGCACCACTGACAGTGGCTGCACCTGTTCCCATTATCCTAGGACGTCTTTTTTATCATGAACCAACAATTTTCTCAGAGGATTTTAAATGAATTTGATTTCTGTTTTTTTAAATCATATAGTAGGATAGAGTGCAATCAAGCATTCAAAAAGATTTGAAAAATAAAAGTATATACTTATTTAAAGTGTATAGAGTAAGTGTAAGAAATTAAAAATGGTTTTAAAATAAAACTTAACCGATTTCATGATTAAAAAAAATTACAGAAATCAAATTCACTTAAAATCCTCCGATAAATTGCTGGTTCATGATAATAAAAATCACCCTGTATACTGCACTTTTAATTTATGCTTGTATACATTTAGCATGCCATGTTTTAAAAAAAGTAGTTCAGGCCAAGTATCATGCAAAATTAGGATACTGGGGCACTGATAAATTAATTGTCTTAATCAGAGAAATTGTGCTTAATCCGGCCCTGTCCACCCCAATAAGGCAAATAATTGCTTTTAAAAAATACTTGTTACAAAAAGATTTTTCTCTTTTGAACAAAAATCCCCCTTCTTATCCGGCTACGAGGTTAAAATTTAATGAAAGTGTGTTCGTATGGAGAAATCATACGTTTTTTTATTATTATTATTATTGATACGAGTATATTTATATATATATATATCAGTAATATAATATAAATACGCTTTTTTATAATGACGGCGGTGTCCGTCTGAAAATAGCTAATCGTATATATGCATAGGTTAATCTCTTTTAAAAATACATTTTATGTATACCGATATATTATACACGAGGACCGCGGCGGGACATCCGAATGCGAAAGTCATTGACACGGTTTAAAAAAACCACATTGGAAACAAACAAGAGAGGAGAAGATCGGAAAAAAAATAGATATAGAGGAGATAGAGTGAGCGATGCCAATTCGTACACCCTGTGCAACACGTCTGTGTGTACTCGAATATATTATAATTGCACGTTCCTGTTTGTAGATGTATTGGCAAACGATGTTGAAAACCATTGAAACATGCACTTATTTAAATAGTTTATAAAGCTATAATAAAATGCACAGTTAAATATGTCCACAACAAATTAATATGCGAACCACTTATTTTTTATAGTGTCTCTGAGAAAAAATTGGCTTTCAATTTATTACGAGTATAACGGGTTAATAAATGGTGTTTGCCAACCTTGTGTTGTAAATTTGTGTTTACTAAATAAACAATCTTTAGAAATTTACGGAGAAGGCACTTTCCTTCAAAAAATTAGATCTAATGAACAATGAACCTTTACTAAACACATTTCATTATACCTAGTCGGCTTATACGTATATCGACTTTGGCTATTATTTTTAAAAATAGTTATACTTAACAATTTTTGGAGAATATATAAAATTGTTAATAGAAATTGTTGACGATATTCGTTTTTTTTTCCAACATTTTTATACATAATAACATAGGTAAATAAACTCCCCCCAGAGTGTGTGCAGTGTGAGGTTGCTGATGACACGGTGGAGTACATTTCATTCGGGAGCTTCCACTGAGATGAAAACAGAGGAAATAGCAAATCAAATGGCGAAAATTCATTCCCGGATCATACCCTACCAATATTATAAACCATTTGTAATTTTTGAATTGATGTTTATTAAACGTCTTAGGCCAGGCGGCAGTTATGTTCAAAGCTCAAACAATTCCAACCTGAAAACACAAATAAGAATAACGAAAAAAATCAGTCTAACATAATAAAATTTAGATTAATCAAACTAATTTTACAATTTAAAAATAGAAACTTACAATCACTTATGCCAGTCAAGTATGAGCATCAGTCTCTTTTTTTCAAAATAAATAAAATCCAAATCCTTTAAGTTAGGTTAAAAGAATAGGCCTTATGGAGTATGGTTCATAAGGACCCGTCAAATCCACAATGATACGGGAATACGACTCCTCCAAGATCGGAATAAAATCCAATTCCAAAACGTCCACATCAATATCTTCTCGTGGAGCACGAGCGGAGCTACCACATGAGTACGGAAACAGAAAACTGGCGAATTCTGCAAGACTCTTATCAGGCGACAGTGATGACGAAAAAAAAAATCAAAATACAACCAGTTCTAAATTCGAATAATTACTATTTTTTTCCGATTGTTCTTAATTTATAAGTAATTGTAAAATGTATAAGAACATGCAATATGCATCGGTGTACTACTGTAGCAGGCGAGAAGTTGGGAAGAATGGATACATAAAGTTATTTAATTTACATTTGTAAAGAACGATAAACCATTACTACCGAAAAATGATTTTGAGCAAAGTTTGGTTATACATGATTCGGAAGGCTGTAATATTTATAATTTCCATCAAAATGATTCCAAAACGATTAAACAAAAAAAAAAAAACTACTACATACAACTACCATTGGCAAATAAAAAACAGACCTCTCTTGCACTAATTAAATCCAAAATGCAATTAAAAAAAAAATTCTTGTCATTTTTCGATTGGCACAAATAATTTCTGATTAGGCTAGGGTAGGTTAGGTTTATATAGACATCACGGATATTTTCCTTTCATCCACAAAAAATCTGGCAACTGATTATTTGTAATGAAGGATATACACATTTAAAAGTTTTATGAAACATTTTTTTCGTATAGAGTGAAAAAAGATAACGAGGGTGAAAATGAAAACTTTGGTTCTTGATTGTTCTATATTTTCATTAAAAATACGAGTGCAAGCAAAATTTCAAGTTGATCGAACTACACGAAGTGGAACAATATTTAATATTTCCCGAAATAGTTAATATTAAAAATTTTGAAAAGCCTTTTTTTTTTCTTTTTTTTTCGGGTGTAACGTAGAGTAACATGTCTAAATGACGGAAATGACAATTCACTTTTCGTAATTTTCCGAGTGACTATTTGAAATATTTGTAAATTTGCATTCCAATTGTAAGTCCGTTTTATAAGTTGTTTTACTTTTGGTTCATTATTTGTCATTATCGTTTTAATTTAATTATAAAGAACTTTTATCGTAATGCGACACGCATGTATACCATTGACAAAGCCGCACAAAATCGTTTTTCTTTAGCAACGCGGTTGATCGTGGCGCACAAACGTGCATTGGACTTCCCCTCGACTATCTTCCCAAACTTCTCGCCTACAACAGTGGCCCACCCACGTGCGAAATATGTCCGTCTTTCTTTTTGTTTTGTTATCAGTTTTCATTGACTCTAACAACAAACAAACAAAAACAAAAAATAACGGGCCGCGACCGAAATTCAAGCGTGCTTTCGCCGGACGAACATTTTCGGGAACTGTTGAATTTCAATTAACATAATAGAGCCATTGCGTGCAATGTGTGTTAAAACGAGTAGGGTTTTAAATACGCGCGGCGACGGCGGCCGGGCGGGCGATCGGAAAATGTATATAAAAGTGTTTTTGAACAAAAATAATGATAATAACAATAACAATCGTATATTATACAACGCGATTAACAGACACCGGTGGCCGTCCGAAACCCATCGGCCCATCGTATGCGTGCGCGAGTCGGTTTGTGCGTTTATCTAGTCGTGCCGTAGCGGTCGTGTATAGTATCGCGCTGGTGGTCGGCGCAATAAACGCGCGCTAAACTGGTCCGACGGATCATCGCGTCTCCGGACGGTCGCGGGAGCACAGTCGCGTTCCTGACGTGTTGCCGACCAGACGTTTTCGCCCGGTCACGAGACGCCCGCATCCGTCAGCGCAGCGCACCGCGCACACACCCGACGACGACTCTAGCCGCGGACAGACACGGGACGTTGGAATCAATACCGGTCGTGTGCAGTTCTGAAGACGACCGCGGCGTCAAGGACCACCAAGGCCCAACCGCTAGCGTGTAACAGCGAATCCACATACGCCCGCAGGAACACCGCCACCGGCACACCATGTACGCGCTGCGACGGTGGTGCACCGCGATCTGGACGGTGCTGTCGGCGCTGGCGTTGATGACGCACGGCGCCACCATCAAGTTCGACCAGAGCCAGACGGGCGACTACAACTTGCAGATACACCTGAAAAACATCGAGCTGTACGCGGTGTTCGACGATTCCGGCGGCAGCGAAGACGACGTGAGTGACCGGCCGTTTTTTTTAATAATAATAATAACGCGTACCTATCCAACATAATGTTGTATTAATGTTATACAGGCGCTCGGGCCGATTATACGTTTAAAAAATTAGAAAAACAATTTTCGAAAATTATTCCAATCAATGATTTCGGTCGACTCCCGCGTCCGTTTTACTTTCGTATCGAGTTGGTTTTTCTGAAAAATATCGCATTGCAATAGTGACAGTTTAACTACGCGCGAATATTGTATAGTACGGCCAACGGAAAAGACGAACGAGTATTTCGCGCGCAGACAAAATTATCAAATTGTTGGGGAAAACGATTTTGCCAATGGGCAATGAATGACCCAACTTAACCGAATCTGTTGTAGGCGGATCGGCGGAACCAATTTCGCGCTTTTAGTTTCGATACCATCGAATACAAGAGGAAGAATCCCGTTCCTATTTGTACGTTGGTTTTTTTCGTTGTTTTAAACTTTAAACGCTTATATGAATGCGTATAAAACAGACACCGAAAGAAAAAAAAAACTATTTACCAGCATTATTGATCTCTTGCCATTTTTCGATCGAATTAATATTTCCGGTAAACAACACAATCAGTCGAACGTGATAAAAACTATGAAAACGCCGCGTCGCACCGCAATTAATATTTGATCGATGTTTGCTAGAATTTTCATTGCGTGTTACAGTCTGCGAGGGCATATTTGAAATTTCGGCGTGTCCTGTGAATGACATGGCATATGAGCGTGAAAATGGTTGGCGAGGTGGTTGAAAGTTAAAACTCCCGAAAGGTAGATCGCTGCCGCGTCCTTGATGCACACGCGCCAGACATACAGAAAATAACATCCTCCCGACTGCAGATTCCACTTGGGATGGGGATGGGGCGTCCTATAGGAGAACTAAAAAACTAACAAACAAACAAACACTATCCACCCGCATACAACGTGGTTGAGTTCCACTAAAATTTTAACACTTCAATCGGCCTATGAAAAAAAAAAATCTCTAGTTCACGAGTTCGGGCCCGTTTGGTCCTGAAAAACGTGTCAGAATGCATAGCGCCGAAAAGACACTTACAACCTCGTTTGTTTTGTCGTCACAACGGACGCGACGCTGAGGCGCGGCGGTGTCTGTTTTCGGTTGAAAATTCGACGACAGCGTACAAATACAGGCGACGGTTGTCCCTTTGCGCTTCGACGGCTGGCGAATTCGTTCCGACGTGAAAAACTAACCGCATAAGACCGGTACGCGCAATGGCGAATCCGGTACGCGGTGTGCGCGCTTGGGTAAGAACGCAAATGCGCGAGTTTAGCGGCGTACTCGCTGTTAATAAAATGACTCCGCCGTACGTTGAGACGAACGGCCGAATCGATCGCGCGCGCATCGACATTCCCGTACAGCGTGCAGCTGATGAACGGGGGCTCGCGCAGGATGTTTAATATTTTCGGTACGAATTATAAATCGTTCGTGTCGGTTTACGGATTACTTTTGCGACATGATGGACGGGGAAAAAAAACGAAAAAACAGTGATCATTTTTTAATTCGGTTGTCACGGGCAAACAGTACGCTCTTTTTAAAAAATAAATTGCCCGACGTTTCTCGCAGACCATAAGGAAACGCGTTGATTATTTAGTTTACATTGTTGTTTTCGTTCGGTACTGTGCACGGGCAAATTCGATTATTTTACTCGAACGAGTACAAGCACAACACAACGGTTAACTGTAATTGGCCGGGGGAGGAGGCGATGGAAGCGAATAGTTATGGGTAGACATGTAACGCGTTATTTTTTTGTATTTTTTTTTTTCCCATTCAATAAATCGCTTTACAAAAAAATTACCCAGTTATCTTGTGATTACAGTATAATAACAAATTGTTTTGCCCGAGGTGAACCCGCTCTTATTATTTATTCGTAACGGACACTCAACGTTAAGTAAAAAGTATTTTTTACCGATACTATTATAATAAGGTCACACCGCAATAAAATTTCAACGGGAAGCTTCGCGGGATACTTATTTCCATATAGTTAACGCGCGAAATGAGCATATATATATATGTGATCAAATAATTTTTGAAAAACAATTTTTTTTTTTCAATCCGACGTACATTTAAATGAAATTATTACAAACGTACCTACATAATAATAATTAGTTATTTCGATTTTGATGGCGTCGATAAGTGTATCTTTAAACCAATAGTATACTTGTTAGATAAATAATATTATTACCAAATTATCACTATGACAAACACCTCTCCAGCGAAATAAAACAAAACAAATTTGCAGCCTCGTGAGAAAAAAAAGATCGAAATCGGTTTCGATCTTTTTTTTTTTGTTTCTTTTTTTGGAATGATGAATGAATACTTCATACAAAAGTCTTTTTGAAAGTGGAATTTTGAAAATTATAAATATAACGAACCGCCTACAAGGTGGAAATCTTCTTTAAACGAAAAACAACAGCTACAGTTCTGCATAACCCGCATATTTTGTTCTCTCTATAACGGAAGAATCAGTTGTTGGCACCGAGCGATTCCGTTATGAGGATGTTTTACTGTATTTCGAAAAACTAAAATTCAAGGTTGAATGTAACCCGTTTTAAATTCGGAGCATAGTGGTTCGGAGATCTATTGATTTTACTGTGATATGCGTATTTTTTCATTTTTTTTTATTTTTAATTTGTGTATATGTAAACAACTTTTCTACAAGAAATATCGCTTCGGTAAGATTGTATTTTTCTACCAGAAATATTTGTTCAAATTTCAACAATACAAGAAAATGTTGTCTAGTTAATGAATAAGAAATAAGAAATAATAAGTCGTTGTTTGATTCTCTGTACAGTTTTTCTGATAATTCCGAGAAAAAACGTAAAGAAATACGGCATTTGGGTTTTTTGTTGTTATTCGATTAAAAATTATTTTAGAAATCTGTAGGATGTAATTTTTTACAAAATACCTATATTGTTCTTTTGTAGACGTAGTCAAATTTTTAAAACATTCTATCCGCTTTTCGATTTTTTATCGGTATTTAGTATTTTCGTGTTTTTACATGTATTTTTTTTTTATAGAAATCTGTTATGAAAATTACGACTTTATAACTTGAGGTAAATGCTTGGATATTTAACAGAAGGTAAATTATAAATTGTACTTAGTGATTTAAAAAACAAATTCGATTTTAATGGATTAATTAATTTTCCATAAGTGTTTTAAGATCAAATTGTGACGAAAATCGTAAAAATTATGGCATTTCAAAATATGTCTAACCGAACTTCGCTTCAAATCTTTTACTATTGTGTACAGAGATACATCAAATTATTTTATGCGTCCTACCTTCCTAACTTCCCATATACAACAGTGGCTACACCCGTCCCCAATATATCAGCTCTATTTTTACTATTTTAACTGTTCTGAATCTGAGCGTATCCATTTTGCTTAATTTTTTTATTAAAAGCACACCGATATCATTATTTTAAATTATTGCGATTTTATTTGACTACCAGAAATCTTGCATCAAAATATTGAAGTGTTATTGCATTTTTTCTAAAAGAAATTTTATTTAGATGGTGCCTAAGATAATAGTTTTTTGATTTTCGGTGATATTTTTTTAATAACTGTGTAAAACTTAAAAAAAAACTTAGGTAAAGGGTAATGTTTACGGAAATAACGGTTTCATTATTTTTTTTTTTTTTTTTTTGTAATTCAGTAAAAATATTTATAGAAACCTGTTATTTTCACAGGATATTTATATTGGTTTTTTTAGACGTAGTAAAATGCTTAAAACTTAACCTAACCTGGAGGTTTTTTGTGGTTTTTGGTAGAATAATCAAAATCGAAATCCAGTGCATCCTGTAGGAGTATTTAGTTATAAATGTTAACAATTTATAAGAAACCACGATCAGGACGCTTAAAGGACCTGCTCAGTGGCCTGTTTAGGGACCTCTAAAAATACGATTTTCTACGTCGTGATAATATGTATAAGTGTCAATTTATAATTTTATTTATATTTTGTACAAAAACCTGCTGAATTTTTCGTTTTTCCGTCTATTTCTATACAGACATTTTTAGAGGGAGAGATTTTTATTACTTGAAATAAATATTATTAGATGATATTACTATAGTTTAATGATTTCTCGAGTACATTACCCCGTATAACGTTGATAAATATATGTACGGAATCGTATAAAACCGGTTCTGAAACCGGAATACCTATAAATAAATTTAAAAATTAAACATGAGACACGAAAAAAATCTCAATTTAATTCGACCACTTAAAAATGGCGGAGACGGAACGCGCATATCTTTAACACCACCTGCGCGATTTATCGACAACATCACTCCAAATCATTATTCAATTATCGCAGCCGAATCCATGGGTCGCGGAAACCTGAAACTTTGAACACCGGTCGACACATTGATGGATGGGAGGACCCGTCGTGGGATCCGATAAGACTTCGAAGCCGGATTTTTACATTTCAACGTTCACACTTGAGTTTTGGACTTTTTGCGACTATTATTGATTGTTTTTGATTTACGGCCATTTCGCTATTGCATTAGACAATGCATACCTGTTTATTTTTTAATTCATCCAGTTTTCAGAAAATTGTCCCCGTCAAGAGCGGATTCGAGGGGGAGGTATACCGTGGGTAAGTTCCGTCCCCGTCTTTTCGATGGAGGGGGGGGGGAGCGAGTGTCCGGATAGCCAAAACAACCGCTTTTCGGTCGCGGCGTCGGTAGACGCGTACATTTGTTCTAAGCCCGATTTACGTACACGAGGGCGAAAAGTAACGAACATCACCGTTCGCGCACAGCTTGTTAATGTTAAAACGTCACAAAAAATTTGTTGTATTTGTATTTTTTTTTTCCTATTGAGCCAAAACGGTAAATGTTTCGTTATTGTCACGCAGTATGGAGACTTGCCCGACTACACGGATCCGACCGAAGCTCCGTCAAGACCGCCTTCGGCGACCAGCACGTCCACGACGACAAAGTCGCCGGCGTCGTACGGCATCAGCACGGCGTCCGCCGTCAGCACTCCGCAGCCGCCACCGTCCGCGCCGTCCGCGCCGTCCGCGCTGCTCGACCCGTACTCGCCGTCCAACAGCGACAAAATTGTCCAGATGGTCGAGGCGCTGATCGCCAGCAACGGTAACACGTCCGACCTGCCCACCGAGCCGCCCGCCGTGGCAGCCAACACGTCGCCGCCATCGCCGCAGCCACAGCCGTCGTTGCAGGCATCACCTTCCGCGATAGCCGCCTCTGTCGCCTCCGCCACGGCCAGTCCGACGACCGGCTCGGCCAACCGCAAGTGCGGCCCAGGATACTTCAGAGACCCGATGGGACGGTGCCGGCGCATCCGGAAACCGCATTTGCCGTAAGTATTAAAGTAAAATTGGGAAAGAAAAAAAAAAAAGGTCGAATTATATTAAAGGAAATGTGTAAAGAAAATGGACCACAAGCAAATTAGCTATTAATATTCGGAGCTATTCGAGAGAGATTTTCGAAATAAATTTGATGGTACGTACATGTCGTGTACGGGGTTCTCGAAATAGTGACCGTTTTGGGTTTCGTTGAGCGGTCAACACGCTCGACAGTGTGAATAATAACAGTGTTACAATAATATAAATAGTTCTAAATATTATGTTGCATGATTGTAGCATTACAATCATTTTTAACCGAATCGCAACAAAATGGAGAATAATGAAACCGTTATCGCCGTAAATGTCACTGACTTTTCCGGATTTTTCCTAATTAAAAATGAGAAAATTAATACAAAAATTACAATTATGAAGCGACCTGCTAATGCACCGACTAGATAAAATTTTCTATCGGGAAAAGACGCTGCATTTGAAAATCGGAGCAAGATATTCGGTGGTAAAATTGTTTGCGGGCAGAAAAAAAAACACATCATAGTTAACGCCAATACATTCCTCGCAGCGCTCAGAATCTAAAATGCGCAGTTAACAAATTTCGTGACGGCACAATTTTTTTTTTCCACAAAAACAGATTTAAAATTCGTAAACATTCGCAAAAATTACAATTAAACCGGACAAACGGGGCGGGGTTGTATAGTTGTAGTAGCGGCTACGTCACCGGTAACTAACCACTTTGCATTAAAGACATTAATAAAAAAAAACATCGCCATAACGGTTTATCGGGCACGTGTAAAACTCATCCTTCTCAAAATTATTCGCGTACATTGTATATATTATTATAAAAAAAAAAAACAATAATATTATAATGGATGTTTAATAATAATTTTGGGAGCGTTGCAATAATATTGTGACGTCAACAATCGGTCTGAAACCGTTTATCGCAGCACGAGACCACCGCCATCTACCCGGGGAGATAACACCGAACCGACACGTAAATCGATCGTCATATTATAATAACCCGTTCCGGAATATGATTGTAATAATAATAATATATGACTTGCAAAACGTTTACGATTATATTGTTAGTTTTTTTTTCTTTTTATCAAAGAAACCAATAATCCTATATAGATCCGCGTGACTTAAAAAAACAAAATTATCCACGCATTTTAGATATCAGAGCGTGGCATAGAATGCGTACGGGTTTTACTAGTACCCATACAAATTATGATTTTTTTTTTCTGTCTATGAACAATGTATTTACGATAATTCTTGCTCCAATTTTCAAATTTAGTGTTTTTTTCTGAAAACAAATTTTTCCTATTTGGCACATTTGGGTGATCATTTTCAGTTTCTGAGCGAAAATAGTTAATCATTATTATTATTATTTTTTTTATACCTAAACAAATTTTTACTAGTCTTGCTCCGATTTTTAAGTGTACAACTTTTTATGAAAGGCAATTGTATCTGAGTAGTACTTTAGGGAGGTTATTAGTTTCAATTTTATTTTTTATTGTGATCCAGTTAAAAATTTCTGTAGAGACTTGAAATTTGGACAGAGAAGTTATATTTGCTTTTCCTAGACGTAGCAAAATTTTCAAAATATTTTAGCTATTTTTGAGCAATTTATAGATACTTTAATTTTGCGAGTTTTTCACGTAATTTTTATTCGGTAGATCCTCTGTGAATAAAATTGTTAGACCAAACATAAATATTTGAAAATTTAACAAAAGGTTCATTATAAATCGTAGGTACTCAGTGATAAAAAAAAAAAAAATCGCGTTTTGTAATTTTTTTTTCATAAGTTTTAAAATCAAATTTTGACGAAAATCGTAAATATTACGGCCATTCAAAAAACACGTATAACCAAATACTGTTCACACTCGTTTTTAATTAGGAAAAAATTAATCATTGCGTACAAATACGATTTAAATAACTTTCTGTATTCGAACCTTCTCAACTTCCCACCAGTTATCAATATCTATAGGTTTTTTTTTACATTTTTCAACAAATTATACTCGATTATAGTTTATTGTTAATCATTGCGAAATTATAATGCTGATTCCAATAGACATGCAACGATTACAGTAATAATTTTAAATTTATTTTCAGATTTTTACAAATGGTACACACTCCGGGCGTGATCAAGTCTTTCCAACCACAACAACGAACGGCCGACGAAGTAGGCGCATCGAAAAATTAAAGAAAAAACATGCGGTAGACTGACCGATTGGCGTTTCGCCTAAATATGTTTTAATAATTTAATATTTATCGCGTATCATACATAGCCGTCCATCCACGTGTAATATATAGTATAATATTTAATAGTATTTATTTTGTTAACGGTTAAGTATAACATTGTATTAGTATTTGTAGGAAATTCGCCGTATTTATATAATAAGTTATTGTTTTCGAGTGGCCAACAGTACTCGTCTTGTATACTACCCGCTGCTGCATCGGAGTGAACTGTAACCAGTCAAGCTGTTAGGCGATCCTTAAAAATAAAGCACGAATTTCAGGTTTATTATTATTTTTTTTTTTTTTTAAATAAAAAAAAAGGTCCGTTTGACTGACCGTGGGGCAATCTGATCGTTTTCGAATCTCCCACTTTAGTATGGGATATTGCCACTGAATTATCGATAAAATATTCATCGTTGTCCGGACCTGTCATAATTTATTTATCCAATACATAATATATTATTATTTTTTGAATCGTCCAATACATTTTTACTAACAATGTATTATAATATAGCTAACACAGACATTTTAAGGATAGTTGGGCAATTTTTTTAAAAAAAAAATATGTTCGTTTTCAACAGTAGGTAGGTAACAATTTTCCCGTAGGTAGCACACTACCGTGACGCGGTTACGGTAGATAACCGGGTACCCGGTCAACGTTTGGTATTCATACAAAACTTGATAATATTAAAATGACCGCGAACATATTATCAAGTATGAATTTTGCTGATTTTTTCTTTATAAACATCTTGTATTTGTAATATTATATAATTTTTATAATATACGCAAAGATAATATAATATATTGTGTGGAATTATTTATACAGCGTTTTAGAGTGCAGATAGTTACACGAGGTATAACAATTATTATTATTTACAAAATACAAATTATAAAATTTACTTATTAATGTTTTTTTTTTTTTATAAAAAAAAAATTTTTAAACTTGTTTTAATATTGTTAGTACAAAATTGAAAACAACATTATGAAAGTACCTATATACTCGGTTAATTATTATCGTTAATGGTCTTTTAATCGAGGTTTGTAAAACTTTTTATTTCATACCTGCTCAGAAATGGTTCAGTACTTTTGGTGAGAGGGATATTTGCACAAAATCACTTTATCTTGTTGCAGTGAATGAAAAAAAAAAAAATCAAAATAAATAAAATATAATATAACTTTTTATTTCTTAACTAATCTTTACTTTAGTTGTCCTCTAAAAAGTAGAAATACTAATTAATTGTTATTTATTATGTTACCTGTACCATGCCGAATTTGAATATACCTACCTAGTATTTGGTAAAAAATTGCAAGGTCTCGACGATAATTATTCTTAGGTGCCTAAATTGAATTACAACGAAAACATATCAACTCTATTGTAGCAGTACGCGAAAAAACAAATTATGACTTTACGAAACTGAGCAAATATGATGACGGTACTTAGAAGTACTAATATGTATTTAGTTCATAAAATGCACAATTATAATATTATATAGGGACCTACCTAGGTTATGCGCATTTGGTGGGTGGGACTTAGACGGACTGGGGAAAATGTTCCGGGCGCCAAAACTTTTTATCGTAGAAAATTGTTTACAGTTCACCATCAGAACTAAAATCTTTTCTATTTTGTCCTATAGAAATAAATATTATAAACGATTTAAATGGGAGTAACATGTCGGGTAGTTATAGTCAGGATTCCAAGCCAGAATAAAACTGATAAATCCACTGGCGAAATTTGTTCACTGCTCGGCCCGCACGCATTATATTTATTAGGACAAAACGAGGCCAACTGCAGTTGTAAAGATGCCGTTCATTTTGTTAACTTTCTTTGAAACTTGAACACATTTTTTTCAGCATATATATACCGTTGGCAGATTTTAAATTCTTCAATCGAGAACTTATCGGAAATAAGGAGGTTTGCAATAAGAGATGATAAATTTGTTATTTTTGTGGGTAAAACGACTAACAACTTTTTATTTTCAAATGGTAATCCATATTAAAAGTCCCATCTATAGATGGAGTATTAGTTTAAATAAATTTTAGTGTTGAAACTTTTGATTTCCGTAAACCCGTTCACAAGATATTTCACTTTTAATATGGTAGGGGGCGCAACAAAAAAATTTTCTTTAGACTTGTATCTCCTAGTTTGAGGGTATGGAAGAATTTATAAGAGGACCAAGGCGATTAGAACCCCGGCTAACTGGTTGAAAATCCATTGATCAGGCCCTGGTTAGGGATAAAGTAGTGAAATCCGATTGGTTTGGCGACAAGTTGCGCGGCGTTTGAATAGTGCTCTACTACTATACAGTACATACATGCATTTTAATTGGTAAATATTTTTGTAAACGTTATTAAATCATGTATCTACTCGAGAAAAAATTAAAGAATCCAAAAACTAATATTAAATACAGGTGTATTATCAAAGGTCATACAAAATCATATTTTAGGATCCTGGGTGTAGCGGAGAATGTATTGATTTTACTAAAATGTTGATTTATTTTATTTTTTTATCCTGTGTACACAAATTCGAACTTAAATCTTGCTCAGCTATATACGCGCGGCACAATTTCTGAAAGGGAATGTTGTCCAGATGATACTTTTAGGTCATTTTTTTGATTTTCCAAGCGGTTTTCATGTTTGGGAAAAACCAGGATAAAATGTAAGAAAATAATGCTTTTGTTATTTTTTTATGGGTTTATCTTCAAGGGACACTCTGTACTTACTATATTGATTATAGGTACTTGTATGTAACTATGGTATTTAATTATACAATAAAATTTAAAAATATAGAATTTTTAGTTCAAACTTGTGAACATATCAAAAGATGTTAAAACAAATCACTCAAAAAATAGCTAATAACCTTTTACCATATGCAAAAAACGAATTAATTTTTAATTTTTATTATTAGACATTTTTAATTGGATTAGTCAATGGTTTTAAGTTCAACAAAATTAAATTAAAATACAGATAACTTGGTTATCCCTGCAAATAACAGCTGGTTATGGGTTTGAATTATTATAATTGTATAATTATTTAGTCAAGACATAATGCAAATAATAATATACTGTATATGTATATAAATATATAATAAAATAATAATATTAAAACAATAAAAGCATACATATGATCAAAACTTTGATTTGAAAATAAATTTACATCCAATATAAAAAATTTATAAATATAATTTATTTTTGTAAAAAAAGTTAAAAAAAAAAAAACTTTGATTTGAAAATAAATTTACATCCAACATTACAAACAAATTTAACTTTAATAAAAAAAAAATTATAAATATATAATATACTTTTGTAAATAATAATTAAAACCAAATATTCTACAGGTTTACAATTGTTAAAAGTATTATCATTAGATTTTTAAAATATCCAGAACGTCCTTGTTGTCAAGGTAAAGTTTAACGTGATTTGGATATCTACCGCCACTACTCTCAGTGATAATGCACATAAGAAATGTAACTTTACTATAAGCCAATGTACAGAACTTAGTCAATGAATACTCGTCTGGATTATTTAATATCAATGAACAAGACATTGTGAAGACAGGCAATTGCCGTAAATTTTGTGGTAGTTCATATAAATTATCCACTGACAAATGATCTAATGTATCGTCAATGTCGACTACTACATATTTAATACCATCAATTGAATCAAATTTTACGCGTTTAAAATTTGAATTAATACGGGCAAGATATATTCTGTCAGTTATAGGGGTTTTTACCATCTCCATTGATGGTTTTTTATTTTTAAATTTAATATTATTATCATCCATAAATTCAGTAACCGCCTTCTGATGAGGAGACAATGCTTTAATCTTGAAATCAACAAACGAGTTGATGTATGTCACTTGAACATGTATTGGATGCAGCATTTTGTATACATCGCTGTCATCTAGCAGTAAGGTGACCAAACAAGGATCTCCGTCTTTTTTTATAATCATATCAAATTGAATATTGTCAATGGTTAAGATATCTTTGAACATCTCATCGATGTTGGAAAACCAAACTTCATTTGATTTACTGATTAATGAAGGCGCGTATAACGAGCAGCGTCTAACTATAGGAGGACAAGAACAAAGGAAATCAGTGGGTTTATAGAACTCATAGCAATTTTCATAGAAGCCATAATCCACTAAATAACAATGAGCAACTCGACCATCAGAATAAATTTTATCTATTTTGGCTCTACACCAACAATTTAAACTCTTGCTAGATGTAACCACAATGGTGCCAACCATACTATGTTTTAATGGCAATTCAATTATACATATTTCCAAATTGTAGTTGATTTTTTCCTCATATAAATCTGATAAACTCTTAGAATGTGCATAAAAATATTGGATTGTATCAACCTGCTTGATTGTCACAATTTCAACGTCAGGAAAAATGATATCTTTCTTGCTAGAGTTTTCCATTAAAATGCCATTACTCAAATTTTTCGAGATAGATTCTTCAGTATGTTCAATATTATCCATACCATGCACATTGGAATTTATTTCTGATGATTTAATATTATTAGAAATTTCAAAGTCATTGATGTTTTTACGTAATAAATCAATACAATCAAGGTTATTGTAAGTCAATGTTACTACATATGGTTCATTTTTACTTGTTGTTTTCATTGTCCAATGCAATTTCATCATAGTCTTTCTAATACTCACTAAATTTACAGAAGTCATAATGTCAGAATAGTCCTCCACATTTTTTCCCAGATGACAGCGATAAGATTTACGACTAGATAAATAATACGGAAGAACTTTTATTTTTTTTGTTTGGCAAATATTACCGTTGTTTACAATCCGGACAATAGCACAAGGGGATGAATCTAAATGGGAATAGATAGGGGACAACACTTCACACTCATACCATATACCATCTCCAATATCAGTTATTGCTGCCACTAATGTACCAATAGATAGCTGTTGTGTAAAATCATCTAATTCATCTGCAATACTATTTAATGGGTTGTCATTACATTTTTTAATCCAGAACTCTTCAAATGATTCAAAACTACTAATGGTAACCACACACTCCACCACTGGTTGAGTAGGAATAATCTCAACTATATCCATATGGTCTGTCAACAATTCTACCTCAAGCAATGGTTGAGTATAGGAAATTAGTTTACATTTAACTTCTTTATTTAATAATGATTTAACATCTACATTTGATACAATTTTACAGCGCATGGCACAATTTGGTATTTTCTGAATTTCACCAACTAATCTAGTAGTTTTCAATGCTTTAAATCGTTCGCCCGAATCAATTGACAAAATATTATTATCTTCTTCATCTTTATCTAATATCAAAGCTCTGTGCCAATGTTTTGTTATTGAATGTAATGCAGCACACAACGAGCCAATTTCTGTTTCAACTGGTATTATTTTTGCTTGCATTTTGACAAGTTCTCGCGAAATAGTCTTTAATTTATCAAAAAACAAATGAGGAACTATCCAACAACCATCATCTGAGTATACATGTGTGATTTTCACCAAACACCCATTTTCAAGCGATTTTATTAATTCATTTTGCGAATTTAGTAGTGAACTCGTTTTGTTTGGCAAGGCATTTAATGTTCCATCATTATCCAAATGCAAATTAGCTAGGAATGTTGTATTAGACATGTTAAAAGCCATTGGAAATGTCTTAACAACAATGACAAGTGCTGGTAACAATGCTATTTTGGTATCTTCTAAATATTGTAACTTTTTCTTATTAATTTGCTTTTCAAAACCATAGTCAATACAATGTACCACTATCGTTTTAGAATTAGTAGATTTAACCACACATCTATAGTATTTACCATGACTTTCAAACATATATACTTTTCCTAGTACTAAAGAATTTGAACACACAATTTTAACACTTAACTTTGATAGGATTTCCGACATTTTTTCAATCTTGAATTTATCTTGATATCTATGCATGTAAGTCAAATCCCCTTCAACATGAACAAAACATATTTTTTCAATGCCACGAATAATTGGACTGGAAAGTGGAGCAGCTCTATGTTCTTTAATTGATACATTTAATCTATAATTAAAATTTAATTATTTTAGATAAATTCCTTAATTATTCAATATTTTATTTTAAGCATTGTTCAATACAAATTTTAAATAATTTTGACTCTGTTAACATAAGTCATAATGTTATTGACCTCAAATTATTTTTGATTCATAGTATATAAAAGTATGTGCAATTTGATAGACCGTATGTCTTTAACAATGATCTATGACCTACATTATAAATATTTACACATTAGTAGTCAAAGGTTAAAAATGTTGAAAAAAATTACTAAAATAATAACTCCAATCCACTGAATTGGATAAATTGCAAAATAGGAGACATAATTTCTTGAAGAGTAATCCCGTTGTAGTTGGTGATACAATAATTATTTTTTAAAAATCATATCAAATTAAAATTAAGACAATGGTCAAACAATATGGTCAAATAAAATTTAATAACCGTTTTTATCCTGTATGGCCATAGTTAACCCATTGTATGGTAACTAATGAGTGGCAATTTTTTAATACATACATATAAAACAAAATATTTTTAGAAACTGAAATAAACCTAAGTGAATTTTTGTTTTGTTCTATAATGTGAATAAGTAATTAAGAATTATTTAAATAGAAAATAAAATTGATTAACTTACGTTCCATTGTCGTTGATTGACTTAACAGTTATTTTATACAATGTTTTTTCAGTAATTTTAACATCCAAATGGTTGGCTTCCAAACTACAATGAAGACCAAGTTGAGGGATTTTCATTAATTTATCAGAAATTGGTCGAATCTAAAAAGTTTTAATAGAATGATAAAATTAGTTTAGCAAATGGTAATTATGTACCAATAAATGAATAGTATAGATATTAGGTTTTAAATAATAATGAATTTTATATTGTGCGTGTACCTAGACAAATTGGAATTTAATTTTAAAAGACCAAATAAAAAAATTAAAACAATGTCTAAACTCTTAGTAGTTAGTGAAAAAATTAAAGAAAAAACTAAAGTTCTCTAGGAGAGACAAAGATCAGCCTAGACTTACAAGTTAACAATTTTACAATTGAAAAGTGGATAACATTAAGTACTTGGAAGTGAACATAAATTGTAAAAATCAGAAATAAGCAAAGAATAGTAAGCAGGAAAAGTGTTATTGTACAATCAATAGGTTACCAAAGTCTAAACTAGTGTAATGGAAGTCAAAAACTATACTTTATATGAGCTATCTGAAACAAATAAGCCACTTATTAGAAACATGGCTTAAAACAAAAGACTAGTGTTTAAGAAGCATTTTTGGCCCAGAATACAACAATATATTAAGAACGTTTGAGAGAAGAAAAAATGAGGACCTGTACAAGCTGAACAGAAAACCAAATACATTATCATACCTAAGAAGAAAGAGAATAGTTGAGCATGTATGATGAAATCGAAAATGATACACCAAAACAAGTATTAACTGAAATCATGCATAAGAAAATACTACTAGGTAAACCACAAACAAATTGGAAAGATACTATAGAGAAACACATTTGAATAGTGGACAAAAATCTGTCTATTAAAAACTTGCTTTCAACAAAGATCGAAAGAAATGCTTATGGCAGCTATGGTTCTATAAGCACCATTAAAATCTAAGGAAAAAGAAAAAAAAAATACCTGTTCTAAAGACACTTCAGTCAGTAAACCAATATCAAACATTTCCACTATAACAGTATTCTCATTGATGTTCTTTACTTTACTTCTATACCATTGACCGTTATTGCCAGTTACTAGACAGTATGAATCTAGTAAACTATTAACATTTAATGGTTCAGAATTGTGTACCTTAACAGTGAAATAATAAATTATACATTAATATAATTTAATTTATGACAACAATAAGCTTTTTTTTGTAACTAACAGTTGATTCTTTTAAGTATTCTAAAATTTCTGCTTCCAGTTCATTGACAACATTTGGTTCAGGTTGTATGTATAGTTTAAAATGATAATGATAAACATAAGAAAGAAAACTTTGACCTTTTAACAAGCTCTCTTCATATGGGTTTTCGTCTATGAAGATGAATTTATAATAGAAAACAATTAAAATATAATACATACTTGTTTATTATGGTACAGATAAATAAAAAAATACTTTCAACTTTACCAGTTTTCATTGCAGCACATAAACGTTGTCCTATTCCAGAATTCAGTATACTATTGGAAATATCTATATTGGTATCATTTTCCACCATATGTACCAAATTGACATTATACTCATCAGTTTCTACAATCTGAATATTATATAATTTTCCTTTGATAAAATATGGTTTTAATAATGTTGATATATCAATGTCTAAAACTGGAAACCACATGTCATTCAAGGAACAATCCAATACTAATTGTCCAGGTAAACAACAATCAGACTCAATAAAGTTATATAAAACTATATTATTAAAATTGTCATGGATTATTTTATTTCCTTCATCAACCAGTTGTAAACTTATCTCTGTAATACATAAATACACTTAATTAAGATTTTTTGCCATAATATATTGAACATGTAATATAAATATAATCAACTAACTTTCAATATCAGAATCAATGTCAACAATTTGAGTACGATATATAACATCAGATTGATTTTTAAAAATTGCATACATATTTTTAACTACATCAGATTTTGTCAAAATATATCGAGAATCCAAATCTGATAGAATTTGGTCCATAAAAAGTAAAAAATTTGGGTTATATTTTTTTATGCGAAAGTTGAAGGGCGATTTGTATTCAATTAATGAACCAACCAATTCTAAATTACCCTCTAAAATTTCTCTATTCAAAGTCAATATTGGAAAATTCTAAAAAAAAAAAAAAAATACAATATATTCAATCTAAAAGCTCAAAAAGTAATACAGAAAGTATTTATTTAATAGGAAATCTACAGTTACTTATTTATTATAGTCTACACTACCAGGTGTGAAAAACAATTAAAAACTAACTTTTGACCAATTTTATCAATTTAATATTAGAAAGCACCAAATAGACTACTAGACTAAAGATACTAATTAAATTTATAATAGAGATATCTGTTCAGTAATTACTCGAAGATAAATAAAAATGTCTTAATAATTATTATACAATTTGTTTTTGACTGATGTTGAATGTAAAGAACAAATAATTAATGTATGAACATATTGGAATTTAAAAATTTTGAATGTATTTGAATTAATTTATAACATTTAAGTTGTTTTTCAAAAAAAAAAAAAAAAAAAAAAACTTAACATGTAAAAAGTAGAAGAGTATACAATATTAGAATCATAGTTCCACCTTTTAACCTGTTTAAGGATTACAAACCCCGATATAATTTATTCTGTATTCTGAAAACTTAATAAAATTAATATACATCATATTTATCTGATTTTAAATTGATTAAAAGTTTCTATATTGTCTATACTTTGTATCCACTTGTAAAATTAATAATTAAACACAATTTATAAAATTAGTTTTTTTTTTTGTTATATTTAAATAAACCAAAAATTATTAAGACATTGGATAAATTACGAAAATATCTTATTTTGGAAAGCTTTAATGGTTGTTTTCCCGATCAAATTTCCCTTCAAGAATGTTATTTTACTTGGTCATATTACATATTGAAATATAATGGTGCAATATTTTTTAAAAATATAAATTGAATGGTAAAAAGAAAATCAGTATTTCTGAGATTACTTTAAAATAATCCATTTTTTTCAAAATTAGTAACTAATTTATTCAAACACCAAGATATAGAATATTTGAAAACGAATATAAAATACAAAATTAAATTACATTATTCCACTTATCAATGTTATAAATTATTTTGAAATTTCAATTCTATATCTTTAAAACTATATTCAACCCCTTTTTTTTATAACCAAAGATTTAGTATAGTTTAATTATTAGTCTTAGTATAAATAAGTTCATTAACATAGATATTTACATTAAAATCATTTAAAGAAGTTTCTATTGAATTGTTTATACTTGTTGTGTCCTGTAAAAATGAAAAATTAAATTAAATTAATAAAATAAGTAATTTTTAATAAATCAAGTTCTATATGAGTTTATTAACATATACACCAACTTTTAAATTGTTTATGGCAGTTTCAATTGAATTGTCTATATTTGCTCTAAAATCATTTAAGGAAGTCTCTATTGATTTTTCCATAGTTTTTGAATCCTGTAAAAATTATTAATATTTATGAAATTGGTATTTTTAGATTTTGTAAGGAGTAAGGGTAAAACCCTCACTCCTTTCATTGGGTTTTATAATAAAATAATGTTTATTATTAATTTTTAAGGAAAAATTTTCTACCGCCAATTTAGCTATGATTTATAATGATAGCACTTTTTGTAAAAACAAATCTGATTGGGGAAAGCAATGTTTAGATTTTTCCAATAAATGGGAACATAGATACAATATTAAGCAAATATTATTAAAAAAAATGTCCATTTTTATTATTTTACCATATGAAATATATGTATATTGTTGACAAAGCAACACTATCAACAACTCAACTCGACTCAGAATCCTTTTTTTGGTAGCAATAGTTAATTTTTACGTACATAATATATAAATTAAATTTCTCCTTTACTACCTTCCCAACTTCTTACCCATAACAGTGCATCAGACTCATTAACCTAGGACAGCCTTTTTATTTTAATTGTTTATAAGTAATAATTGTATAAATTCAGTTTAATCTTAAAAATATAGACTAAAAATGATTATTCAGGTTTATTATAAATTCACAAAACAAATATAAATCATAAATTAACGCTACCAATTAAGAGAAGGAAGCAGTGGGGTATATGAATAAAGAGAGACAATCAATTTGTGTAAGTAGGCATTTACTGTATATTAAGATAAAATTACAAAATCTTTTTTATTTTTATTGTATTCAAATTATTACAATTTTAATTGTTTTATCATTTTTTCCATAAGATAAAAATTATATATATATATATATATATATGATATGATAGGTAAACTGACAATTGGTCCCCCCAATTAATTTTTGTTTTCCTTGAACTGAACATTTTAATTAAACATTTCTTTTTTTAAATTTTATATAAATATCACATTTATGAATTGGATAAGAAAAAAAATTTTAATTTAGTTCCAATTTGGACAGAACAAAACCAGTTTTTATGAAATATTTCCAGTGATAAATATTATATTTCATCCCTCACCAATGTCACTAATTATTTTACCTGTTTAACTTCTGTTCAATCGAAGTTTAACTTTCTGTTATTTAATTTTGATCGTAGATGCTGAATAGTTCTCACAATATATCAATCTTAAGAATAATAATGAAGTGGTTTAAAACAAACCACAGGAATAAAAAATGAGACAAAATTATGGAAAAAGTTTAACAAATTTATCTGAAGAAGGTATAAAAAAGAATAGTTTAAAATGAAATCATAGTAACATTTACCCATATTAAAATCAATAAATTAATTAAATTTAGATAATTCAAAATAGGCCACTGGCTACTGGCAGAAAAGATTCACCAATTTCTTCTTAAATACATACAAAAAAAAATAAATAAAATAAAAATAGAATTTTAGTTTTTACAACTCAACTATATTTAAAATATTTATCATCATCTAAACATATAAATATGGATGGTACTTTTGAAACCTGTTCACGAGAGTTCCACAAGTTTCTATTAATTCATGCATAAATAGGGGAAAACAATTTACCATTAATATTACACTAAAAGAAACATATAAAGAATTGATAATCGTGTTAAACAAATTGAAATATTGTTGTTTGGCTAAAGTAATTTCAATAGATTTCAGCCTGGGATAAAAGCAATTGAAGATTTATATGAAACCAAAGTAACAATCCTATTATTTTAGTCCAAGAATTAGGACTGGCTATAAAATATAAAAAAAAATAAACAATTTAGACAAGCTGTGAAATTAACAAATTCTTTAACATTCTTATTCATGAATAGGATTTTAAAAAAATGATATGATTATGTATGTATAATTATATAATATTTATTTTAGGAATATCTATATTGTATTATCATACAATCATTATAAAAACAATGTAAACAATATTCCAATTAACTTTTTACTCACCATATTTATTGGAGTGTATACAGTATCAAAAAAGAGTTATACTTGCACCAACATTTCGGAATCATTCAACAACAAATTTCAACATATTGTTCAGATTAAACATCCAAGTATTTATATTTTCATTGAATCTATTTAAATAATTTATTCAACAATGTCATCTTTGACAAAAAACATTAAAAAAATAAATAATAAATTGTATCCCATTTGTAATACTTTTAATATCAAATTTTAAAAACTTTTAATATTATCTAATACATTTTATTACAATTTTCAAAATGAAGTGTTATACTTTAGTGTTTTTATAATATTATATAATTAATAGATTAGAAATATATAGTGAGAACTTAAATTAATGAATTGTACATATGAGGGTAGGCTGACAAGTAATGTGCACGTGCTAGTGGCACACAAACAAAAACAAAATCATATTAGACAAAAATCAAAGTATAATTCTAAAGAGGACGTTATAACTGTATCTACTGTCAGTCAAACTACCAAATAACAAAAACAATGCTTTCACGGAATAGGTAAAACTAGCTTAATTTTGATTTTAGAGTACAAGTACCTATTATGAAATTTATAGAGCATTATTTTGGATGAATTATTTCATAAAGTTTTTGTAGTATTCAAAATATACAGAAATATACAGTATGATAAAATACAACACATTTTTTGGTTTTTTAAAAAATTGACTTTTTTATAGTTCATAATTCAAAAAACACCTATGACATCTCTCCAAAATAATGTACTACATAAATTGCATAATAGGTACTTTTACTGTAGAATCAACTGACACAGTAAATGCAAGTATAACTCTCCTAAGGTTCAAAATTCAAAATTTATTTATCAACATAATCACAACAAATCTAGCCCATCATGAAACACATTTTTTTCAACCTTAATCTTTAGTGCTCAAAAAAAACTTATTCATCTAATGGTTTATCGAGACTATATATTAAATGTTATCGAACTGTTTTTATAGATATTTTATGCAACACTGCATTAGTGTAATTTAGTTATAGTTACAATACACATCAGTCTACATAGATACTTACTTTTAAATTGTTAATGGAAGTTTTTATTGAAATATCTTTATCTTCTTTTAAATCCTTGAAGGAAGTTTTTATTGATTTGTCCATAGTTGTTGAATCTTCCTGTGAAAATTATTAATTTATATTAAATTAGTAATATTTTTTTTTTAAATATGTACTATTTGTATAAATTAAATTATATCATAAAAAAAATATATAGAAAAAAACTGTTTATTTTAAAAAATTTATAGCAAATGGCAAAACAAATATAAACCTAAACATCCTATGTCCCACTTTTTAAATGCTATAGATCATTTTGGCTTGAGTATACACATTTTGAGACAGTGCACAACTAATCTAAATGGGGGGGAGGAGTAGGTAATGATCCAGATACAAAATTTACTATATACTTGTGTTATCTATCTCTAGAATGTACACCAGAGTGTCTTGTCTATCAAACGCTATGTCCTATGTGAATGCAGTGAGGTGAATTTGCAGCTAAATTTTGTACGCAGTACATTTTGTTGTTCATTTATTCAAATACCAATGTTTGTTAAAGCTACTAGACAGTTTTTTAAGCAAAATGAAATACTATGATAAACATATATGCCAGGTTTTAAAAATATTGTGCAGGGTTCATTACTTTGAATACTCATATAGTTCTACCCTTATAACCCTAGTTTGGAGAGCTGCAGCCCCCAAGCTCCCTCTAAATTGCACCCATGATGAATAATATTCACATATATTTTTGATTCCAAGTTGTTCTGTACAAGTTTGAAATTGGATCCAAACAAACAAAGCGCATATCAACTAAAAAAAAAAAAAAATGTGTAAAGAGCCAAAGAACTTTATATATTTTACCCTTAATAAAACATTGAGCTAGATGAAGCTAAATGAACAAAGCTGAAAAATTATTTGATATTATCTCATTTTTTTTTTTATCTAAAATTTATTTAGGAAAACATCTACTACTGCAAACTTATTGAATTATATATATATAAATGGTGAACACTAACAAATATTAATGAAAATTGTGTGTTCAATGGAACTTGCACCACCACTTCCATAGATTATTTTGAAATTTCCGTTTTCATTATAAAACTTTAATTTTAACTTTTTTTTCTTAGAAACAAATATTTAATGTAGTTTAATTATAGTTAGTGTACATTAGTTTAATAACATAGATACTTGCTTTTAAATTGTTAATAGACATGTCTATTGAATTATCTATATCTTCTTTTAAATCATTAAAGGAAGTTTCTATTGATTTATCCATAATTTTTAAATCCTCCTGTAAAAATTACTAGTTTATTAATATTTATTAAATTGGTTAATTTTTTTTTATTTTGTAATAATATGTAATAATTGTATAAATTAAATTCTATCATAAAATATTATGGGCTAAAAATATTTATTCTAACAAATGTATAGTAAACTAACAAATACAAATATAAGCCTAAATCATTATCCCTCTATTTAATATGTAATAGATTATTCTTAATTTTCAGTTTTCATCATGAAAACTAAATTTAAACCTTTTTTTCTTAAAAACAGATTTAACATAGTTTAATTATAGTTAACAATGATTAGTAGATATCAGTTTATTTATATAAATACTTGCTTTTACATAGTTTATGGAAGTTTCTATATTGTCATTTAAATCAATTAATACAATTTCAATTGATTTGTCTATACTTTTTGAATCCTCCTATAATAAATATAGATATTAATACATATAAAATAATTTAAAATAAATATAGTTGTTCGGGTTATATACATATAATTGAAAAATATTCACTTTAACAGTCAAAGTAAATTATTAAAATAGATAGAAAACAGTAAAAAATATGTACATTTTTGAACATTAACTATATTTTAAGTATATAGACTGCAATAATAAGTTAAAGAGTATGCGACTATAGTTATAGATTAAGATACAACAGTGTGTATGACCTACATTAATCACAAAAAATAATCATATTTAATTAATTTAATAATCAATTATTATCAGTGGATAAAGCGATTAAATGACATTTTATCGAAAATGCATTTTATTGCATGAATCAGTGTTATAATGTAATAAAACATTTTATTAATCTGAAAATGGCTAATAACTCATAGTAACTGAAATAATAAATTGATTAAGGTGTTATTAGAAGAGTTTACCATTAATTGGAGTAGATGAAGGTGATAGTGTATATTAACTCCTAAGAACAGAGTGAAAATGGATTTTAACACCTTTAACTGTGTATTTATTATGAATTTGATGGTGTTAACATTGTGTTTTTTAACTATCATAATAACCAACAGGAGAGAATTACCTTTCAGAAAAGATGCTACAGTAAATACTTCGGAACAAGTTTTAAAAGTATAATTAACTTTTATGTATGGAGACTAATTAAACCAATGAAAAAATATAAATTAAAATTTACTTTAATCAAATATTAACTAAATAATTTATGTTTAACATTAATACTAAGATTACAAGAAAAAATAGAAATAATTTTATAAAAGGAGATGTTCATAAAACCATTTACATTCATCAAGAACAAATCGTATTTGTTCCAAATTGTTTTTTCGATTCTAAACAGAGTGAGGAATTATTGGTTTTATAATGTTTATTATTTTATTATTTTAGATTCGGACTGTAGCGGGGGATCTATTGGTTTTACTATGATGATATGGTTTTTTTTTGTCTGAACAACTTTTCTACCAGAAAACTTGTTCCAAAATAATATATTATAGAGCATCATTAAACAAGATATTTCATGTTGAATATCAAAAATAGTTCCATAGCTTTTTAATATTTCGTTAGAAAAGTAGCGTTCCTGAACAATTATACAATTTTCAGTTCACACATTTATTTACTATATATTTTCTTAAATTCTGCAATCAATAAAATAAATATGATATTTGCAATTGACCCTAAAAGTTTTAAATTTGAAAATTTAACTATGGAAATTTACTTAAAATTGACTATTTAACATATTATGTTAAGGGTAGTTTTTTTTTTTTTTTATAAATTGATAATGAGTTTTCATGAAGTATTGAAATATTGTTTAAAACATGACAAGTTTTTCTAACGCAGTAGGATTTTGGAGTGTAAAATTCATTGATAACCAAATAATAACAAAGAAATATTTTTATTTGATAGGCAATGTTTAGACCAACACAATTCCTCCAACCCTTATGAAATCTATGTTATCAAGAAATTACTGATTAAATCCATATACATACATAATTTACACATTATAATATAGTGTCTATAGTTTGTCCCAAGAAAGAACTCCGACCAAAACTAGTCGCCGTTGCACATTTCCATGTTTCAATGACATTGCATCTGGTTAAATGTAGGGAAAACAGCAACTTGGTCGACTGCTGGATTGGTCGGAGTTCAGTATGTATGTGCAGAACCAAACTGTTCTCTCCTGGGACAAATGATTGAACAATTCCCATATAGACATAAACAACAATAAAAATAAATTTTATCATAATAGTCTGAAAGATAAAATTAAAAATAATTGATGACTATTAATCATTAACATATTTCGTATAGTAATATATAAAAGGCCGATAATATGTAATAATTTAAAATTGAATATTTACATTTATCTCAGTTATTGAAAAAGGTTCTGGAGACTTGCTGGTTAATGAGTCATGATCATCATTAATAATACTCAATGTATCACATACATTTATAAAGTTTCCATCTGTTTTTTTAAATAATTTCACTTTATATAAACCAAATGTAGAATCTATTTTCAATGGTAACATTTTAAAATATTTTTGAATAAACAAAGTTTTATCCACTGTAACATTGATCGGTTTGTCTAGTATCACATTTAATGACCGTATTTCAATTAACTTCAAACTGTAAATAATAGGTTAAAAATTAATATGTTATTTTATTAAATAGATTGTAACGTACTTGGGTGGTATTTCAAAAACTGATGATGTTCTAGGAATATATTTTTTGATACCATAATCAACCAAATCTACATATAATTTATTGATTTTAACTTCTAAAATTATGACTCTGACCAATTTATTATTGAAAATAATCAAGCAAGAAGTATATGCTTCAATAACCGGTGCCAATTTTAAATTCTGCCTGTCTAATGTACTCAACATACGGTTTAACAGTTCATCATCACTATCCTAAATTAAAATCAAAAAATCAACGAGTTGCATAAAAATAACATGTATTAAAATTAATACTATTTTTATTTACTCACAATTGTTCTGATTGTTAGCAGGATTATATTATCATCAACAGCAAATTCTGTAACCATTACATCAGTATAATCAGCATAAACCAAATTCTGAGACTTCAAAAAAGAACATAGTTGTTGGGCTTTGCTTGGAATGGGGCAACTTTGAATAATGTCAAGGGTATTGTTTGATGATATTATTGAAGGCATACTTTTAGCAATGGACATCATTGATCCAACATCAATAGCGTTTATTACGCCAATGTCTAGTATCTTTTTGTTGACATCAAATAATGTTACAAATGTCATACCACCAACTTCAAAGTCTCTTCGATATTTGTAATATTTATTGCACAAAATTTGAATTAATCCTTGGTTTGATTTAGCTTGCTTACTTAAATATCCACTTAATAAAAATGTGATTACAGTAACTCTTTGGGACAAACCGATTGCCAATGAATGATCTACATTCTTGGCGAGTTCTCGAACATCAACAAATGGAACAACTAATTTTTGACCATAATCTATAAGCACTATGGTGTGAGTTTTTGTTGAAAGATCTGAAGCAATCACTTGACATCTATAAACTCTTATTAAAGAATCTTTTTTCCAAATATACAAATACATTGTATTTCCATATAAATCTAATTTAGTGAATTCCTAAACAAATAATAAATACTTATATAAATATTTGCACAAGTTTTCTGATGAGAGTGCCACAATAATTTGAACTATTTTATTTAAATCCATCATAAAATAAATATAAAATATTATTTAAGACAATTATTGAAAAATAGATTAATATTTAGAAAAATTCAAAACATAAGTGTGAAACATCATATGCTTAATGTTTGCATAATACTTCAAGAAGGAAGTGACGATAAACAGTCTTGGTGGACTCAATTAAGTTGTTCATGTTTCTTATTTTTAATATTGGTTAACAGAAAAATACCTACAACGCAGTTAATTTTTAGAAAATGGTAAGAATTTATTTATTGGTTTCTTTTATTTATATTAGATACATAATTATTATGTTAATATGTTCAGTTTTCAAGCTATGTATCATATTGTTTCCAAAACACAAAAATGTAAAGTTTTTTTTTTTTTAAAAAAAAAGGTGACCGCGAGGTAATACATTCTATCAAAAAAATAATTAAATTGTTAATCACAGAAAAAACAATAAAATATCTACTCGCTGTGAATAATTAAAAAAATCAGAAAACCAAACTAAAACTTATTATATCCCATGTTGTTAGTGTTGTATACAAACCATACTATATATAAATACCTTAGAATAGCTTGTGTAGTCTTGTAAATCTCTTTCCAAATTTCCTTTTTTTTTGGAATACGAATTTGCCCAAATTTTTATAAAACATCCTTGGTACTCAGCATGAGTAACATACAGCTCATTACAGACAACAGGAACTAAAGACTTCTCCATTTTGTCATTCAATTGTGTAAGTTGAAATGATAATTCTAAACAATTTAAATATATTTTAAAATTTTTCTAAGATGTAAAAGTACAGAAACACACATTAAAAATATTACTATTTTATAATTTAAATTTAGTAGCCACACAATTTTACAAAAAAAAATGTTCATACTTTTTGACCCTGGGAGCAATAGAATAATAGAAATTGGCTGGATGGATTTAGTTTCGATTTAAAGTTTTTGTTTTTTACGCATACACACAACACTTTAATTTACCCTAAATTAATTTGTTTTTAACCTGTGATCTAATTATGATGGCTTTGCATAACAATTTAGAGAATATTTTCAACCAAAAGAAAAAAAAAATATATGTACATAGAATTAAGTGTGGTTAGATAGAGAGTAGAGAATCGTCAGATATATATATATTGATATGTGACAAGGGAATTTCAATGATACTTAAAAGTTGAAGAGTTGCAACTACTAAAGAAAATTAATTTCAACAAATTATAAAAGCAATAAAAATGAAATTCAATGTAGTTCTAAATATTGTTTATAGTATTCTAACGAATAATCTAGTCACATTATATAAATAAAAGGTAAATCAGTATTGATCTAGTTGACCTTCAGAAAATATTCCCTGCCACTCTGGTTTAGTTCAGACCCACAATCTGACACACAAAATTAAATTTTTCATTCATAAATTTGACATAATTTTAATTTTAAATAATTAATTAAATTAATCACAGTGATGTACTATAATGTAATAAAAATATATACCTGCCTAATATATCTTACTTTTTCCTGCAATTGTATACACTTTTAACTCACTCTGGATAAAATGAGCCAAACTAAACTCAAAAATTAGTGATTTTATAGGTGGTTTGAAGTGATAAAAGTTGGGTTGAAATTTAATATGAATCTCACCAATTGTTGCAGGAGAGAAAAAACATGATTTTTTTTAAACTTTTAACACAGAAGTGACAAGACAGATCCCCAAAAAGAAATCAGGGGATGAATATGTTGTATATGTGTGGCATTATGGTGAAATTGTACATTGCAATTTACTGGGTCCCATATAAAAGTATCAACATATTTAAAGTAGTAAAAACTAGGTTTATTTGTAATTTTCAAAACTCAAATTAAAAAGGAGTTATTACCAATTTTAGACTAAGGCCCTGCGCACACGAGGTGATTGCAACGCGACACGATTCTGACGATACATGCGATACGAATGATCTGTACGATTACGGAGGAGCACACGATGGCGATTGTCGTGCAATTATTATTATCGTTGTTTATGTATTATTCGGTTATTATCAGTCGTTTACTGACGTTTGCGCAGTTCTTTGGTTACCTTTTTTTAAAATGTCAAGTTCGTCTAGTGACGAAGAAGCGATTGATACGTACTATTTGTACAAAACGTTGGTTTATGGAAAAAAGCAAAAAAAGAATCTTCAAAGGAAATTTTGGAAAAATTATAGAGTTCAGGATGTTTTTCAATTTCACCAACAAATTTAATATTGAATACCTCAATAGTAAAAATTATGTATAAATAAATAATAAAATGTAGGGAAAATAAAAATGTAATTACGCGCGATCCGTGCGACACAACTGCCAAGCGATCAGCACTGCCGGTCGCGTGTGAATCGCCTCGTGTGCGGAGGGTCTAAGAGTATGTAGTGATAAAAACATTGCGATTAAAAGAATAAAAGGAGGGAATTCAAAAATATATTTGAGCTAAAAACTCACAACATAAAACATTATTATTTAATTAATCATACAAAAACAAAAAAATTTGAGTAACTATAAAATTTAATATTGATAAAAAAAACAATAATTATATGTTAGGTGCCTATTATTAAAAATAGCAGTCAAATCATTTATGAGACCCATGCCAATGATTAGGTTAGGTTAGGTTAGGTTAGATTAGGTTGACCCATGCCAATACTTGAAACTCATCTAACAGATAAACTGAACAATTTGTATTCAGTTAAATAAATATGATTGAATCTAATTTCAAAAGCTTTTATGTGAGAGTAAAGTGTGATTCATTTTGTAAAAATGCTTTTTGAAAATCTATATAGATAGTGATCACTTGTTTTGCTGGCCATTTTTAAAAGATTTAAAAAAACAAATTAATAATTTAAGAGCTTGTTAAAAAGATTGGTTGAGATAGTGTCTTGGTCTATGGTGATCAAACTGCGGTATGTGTTCCACTAGTGGTATGTGGTAGGTAACATGGTAGTTCGCAGAAGACTGCATGGTAATAGTACAGAAAATAAATGAATCAATATTCGTACAAAAGTTTTTTAATGGACCTAATACTATAATTTATATTAAAGTATCTTATTATCTTATACTCTTATATAATTTTTAAATTATTGTAGACATTATGAATTATGCAATTTTTAGTTTTATGTGGGAGGTGACAGATTCATAATAAATATAAGTGGTATACGAAATTAAAATTATGGGGACCTCTGGTCTAGGTAAAACAAGGGTAAAAATCTATGTTGAGAATGACTGATAAAATTTTAAAGTTATTAACTATTGTTCATTTTATTTATGGTTGAACTTATGAACTGATATTGGTGGACTTTTGCAAACACAAATTTAGTAAGAGGAAATCTATTGTAGTAGACTGAAATAACTATTTTAGATTAGTATGTGTATGGAAATTGTGATTTAAAGATAGAAGATGCTGATTGCACTGTTAAGATTGAACAAAATTTATTTGTCAGACGTAAAAAGTAATGCAAGTTGAACATTTCCGTAGCAAAGGCTATTTGGTGGCAAATGATGAAAGAACAATTTTAATAAAATCAAATACAATAAATATTTAAAATACAAGATATAAGTGATGAATGTCAATTAAATCCAGAATGACTGGAAATACTTTCTAAGCAAGAGTGAACTAGAACACCAGTATTGTACTGGCAGCACTACTGAATATATTTAAATTTTTTTAAATAATTTTAAGGATTTTGTGTGTAGCGATTACTTTGGTAAGTACATTACAATAAGTCATTTGGTTTTTAGTCATGTATGATTATACATAAAATGATTATTTTAGCGTTAAATTTGATATTATGTAAAATAACTATAGAGATCAATAGATAAAATCTATATAGTTATTAAAACTATCCATATAAGTTAGCTAGACTTTAATGTAAAATAATTGTTTGTTAATGATTATATAGGTACGAGTCAATGTTCCTGAAGTCTCTTGAGGTACCCAGAAAAAAAAATGTCAAAATATCGAAAAACGCGAGAAGGGTCAGACTTCAACCCAATTTACTATCACGTGTGTCGTAATAGCACTGTAGGTGCTTAAAATTGGTAAAAAAAAAAATTAGCAGTTACTTAGTGAAACACATTATAACATGATAATAGAATACCTATTATAAAAACACAATATTAATAAGGAATTATCTACCTATTTAATAAATTCCTTGGTAGGTAATTTGTATTTTATTAATTAAATTACTTTTAATGATTATTCAATACTTACGTAGGTATGTAGTACCTATATTAAGTAAAATAATTTAATAAGTGGTCGTATCTACCTAACAAAGTCGTGATCACTAGAATTATATAATACAAATAAAACTTGTCAAATAGGTACTAACTATTGAACAGCGGGGGAGCAGCCATCAATAAACACGTGGGTCAGCAAAACGATATTTTCCACGGCTCATCAAAACGGCGATTAAAAAGTAAAACCACGTTTTATGTCGTTTTTAAACTAATAACATTTAATTAAACGATACATGAAAATGCACTACGTTTTTAATAATTAAATCGACAGCAGTGAAAATAATAAAGTAAGAGAAAACAAAACGGAAATGACGAATGACGATTGACAGACGACCAATAGGCAATAATGTAATTTGCAGCCTTTAGGTTAGGTTAGATTAGATAATTTATTATATTTCTAAGGAGGGATAACGAAGAAATCGTAACTAAACTTAGAAATTGGAGCTGATAATGTTCCAGCTACATTCATATAAATTATTATCGCAGTTATTATTGTGTTCTTGATTCAAATTCCCATAATTCTACAAGACCAAAATAACAGTGTTTTGACCATGGTCTTCGAAAGATCTGATAAGGTCGGGCAATTCCGGTGTCACAGGCATTTCGTACCGAGGAACATCATACCCCCCCTCCCGGTACGATTATGCTAGGATGTTTATACACCACGAATTCATTTGCCGAGCTAAAATTATCCTAGCCTAGCATTATCCTGCCCTTCGGTACAATAATTTTAGTATTTATATGCCTCCCCCCCCAATTTACCATACTTTACAGGGAGGTATGAAATTCCTAGAGCATTTAATCACCATAACTTGGTAGTTTTTCAACGTACCCGTGCGGGATCTTCACCAATATATATATATATATATAGGATTGTTAGGTGCACTTCATATAAAAGTACCCCCTCCCACTTCTGATTTTTGGATTAAGTATATCTCGGCGAGATTTAGCGATAAGGAAATGGTATCAACGCCAAATAATTTGACTTGGCGCCCCATACAAGTCCCCTCCATAATTTGATACTATAAAATCCTTTCCAAGGGACTTAGTCCGGAAATCATCGGATCACAACCAAACTTTGGAAATGGTCTCTAGGTCACCTCAAGACCACTCACCAAATTTAGTATCAATCGAAAGGGATAAAAATGGATGGCTTTTCATCATGATCGGAAGGGCATTTATACCTCAAGTATATCTTTGCATGATTTGTTGATATAAGAGAGTAGTTAAAACGCGAACAAATTAGGCTTGGACCCCCGTAAAGTTCCTTCTATAAGGGTGTATTAGAGAGTCGTCCCTTTTTTTATCTCTTCCGATTGACACTAAATTTAGTGAGAGTGGTTTTGAGGTGATCAAGAGACCGTCTCCAAAGTTTGGTTGTGCTTGGAATAATTCGAGGATAATTTGAGGAAAATCCCATCCAATTCACTCGGAAGGGATTTTATGGTATCAAATTATGGAGGGATGTTAAGTCAAATTATTTGGCGTTGAAACCATATCCAGCATTTGTTTTAAAAGATGTTTTATACAACGATAAAATGATTATTTTTAATTAACTCGTAATTTAATTATCAAATATTATATTGTATGCAACATGTACAGGTCTATATAGATGTATTAAAAAGTACTTATTTTAGTTTATTTATAGTTTATAACATTAAGATTTGTTTTATCTGATAAATATTATGCGAGCACGTAGTCAATGAGTACCTAGTTATACTTGTTGAGATGTACCAAGTTCCGACTATAAATAAATATGGTCGATCGAAGTTTTGAAATGTCCGTGCTAATATTGTGTTTGTGTTTGAATGCGAACGAATAGCGACGGCCGATGATAAGACGATAACGACGTAACGTATAAATAAATAAATTTATCGAGCTTAGATCACATGATCTAAGGTATAGAGTTGTATGTACTATGTACTACACAAATGTAGTTATAATCACGGTTTAAGACATCTTAAATCGTGGTTATAATACCTAGAAGAACAACTTCGTTATCAAAATGCGATTGCTTACCAGTATTATAAAAATAAAATAGCCCTCAAAACCACCTTATGCCAGAGTGCGTTCATAAACGTTTTCCAGAGTCGCCAGACTCGTTCAGAAAGTACACGGGACGTTTTAGGGAATTCACTGACACGCCCCATTTGCGTTAAGAAACCAAGTTAGTTCGCCGGATAGTGCTCTTTTAACCACGATTAAAGATATATACATATATACGCACTCCTGTAGGTGGTGAAACGACACTGGTATGTATGGTTCAAACCACTTATTACTTTGCGCCAATTATTTGATACGATTTTGGCGTGCTATCACGTTTATTACGCTTTTTACGAAATGTATAACTGTTTATTGTAAACGTTTGATTTAATTTAATTTTTTTTAAAAAGATTTCCTCAAATTATAGTTGTAAGTGTATGAACTATAATACTATTACTAATTACAAAAACTAATAAATTACACAAATTAAAAAATATTACTAATTTTAACCTAAGTTACCTTTTTACTATAACAAATTAAAAATACTGGCATGTACATTTAAAAATAAACATCATCATAAAACCAATACATTCCTCACTACACTCAGAATCTAAAATATTTATCAGATTGTAGCCTGTAGGTCATGAATATTACATATTCTTGAGTATTAATCCATAAAACAAGATAGTAAATAGAAAGTAGGTATTATACTGACTTTAATAACTTAATCTATTTGAACCTAATTTTCCAAATGGTAGACAAATTACAAATGTACAACTTTTTTCACTATGTTTGCAATGAAATACCCAGCATTGCATTTTTTAATCTAGAACTTATTAGCTTTATAACATATTAAAATCGAAAAAATGTTTAGGAAATTTTATTCTAACCTAACCAAGAAGAATTTCTTCACAATAATTTCCCGCCGAATTATATTTATTTGTTTATTTAAATTATATTGAATTTCAGTACTAAAATAATGTTATGAATTACAAATCTCGTTTACGTCATAATATTCTAAAAGATCATTTTAAATATGTTTACTTTTAATAAAATTAAAAAATCTGTAATGTTATAAATATAGGGCATCCCGATGGGTAATCTCCTCGGAACATCGTTATCACTAATGTCGCGTATTATGAATATGGCGCGGTGATAAACAGAATATAGTGTAAGCCGTAGTCTATGGCATAGACCATAGAATAACAAACATTTGTTAATAGCTCTATTATCTATGGTGTAAAATGTAAACCATGATAGAGTAACTAGATTAATTATAACTCTATGGTGTAAACCTCGATTGTTGGCATGGACCTACTATCTACAACCGTGACGTAAACATTGCCAGTGTCACAAATGTCACAAAACAAGCCCAACCATCACATTAAAAGTAGCCTATTGATTAATACCTTTTATAATGAATACATTTTATTTTAAAATAAATTTGTAATGTGAATATCAAAATTATCCTATATTTGTTGTTTGTTTTTAACTTTTCGGTACTCTAAACGTGACTATTAAAATTATTTTCATGATGGGGAGGCGGCTCACGTCTGGGGTAGACCAAGGTGTGGGGGGGAGCCTGGCCTGAAAAGTTTAAGAACCTCTGGTGTATAGTGTTCAACAAATTGGATATAGGTCGATATTTTTAAACTGGATTGGCTACCTAGGTAATATTTTAATTTATCATTTACAACCTATATACAATTTGGTTTCAACAATATTACATACCTAGTTTACATTCAGCCCACTTCCGTGGCAGTGAGCAGGGAAGTGAGCATGAAAATGGGCAGCGCAAATATGTAAACACGTCACTCGCGCTGACGCTGCCCGACGCTCCCGTCAAGAGCGGTAAACTGAGCAGCGCGAGCAGCAACGTAACCGGCAATGTGACATGTACATTTTTTTCTATATTTTCGTATTCAACCAAAAACGAAAATAATAATACTAAATAATAATAAATAAGTTATTCACTGACCAAATGTTATTCTATTTTTCAAATTCAAACACTAACCTGGTAGTCTGTCCGACTCTTTTTCTCTCGTACCGTCATCGATATCGACCATAAATCATAATTTCTATATATTGCACATTTAATTATAAGGTATCTATTTTGCCTTTTAAATGTAAACATCCGCGCGATAAACACAACAAGAAACACCAAGTACCTAGTTATGAAATATTATTTTTAAAACGGTCAGCTAAAACGAATACAACAGAATGTCCGTGGGCGATCTTTGTAACAATACAGTAATGTGCATACAGATAGCGCTGTCGAACATTTTAACATTTTCATGATAATTCGTGAATTCGCGTTTCGTGATCATGTCCTTTAAGCGCATTATCATTTATACATATTAATCGTGTTTTAAAAATACGATTTTCGTTGCACGGACCGTACATTCATGCACAATCACCAGATTTTTGTATTCATCTGCTGTTTAACGACATATGGTATTATCGCAAACGGGTTTTCGTCCCTTTTGATAATTTATTTCTATTTTTCATTGGCCAGTGTAATGTTTATTATACTTGTGTATATTCGGCGAAGAAATGACATATGGTCACGTTGAATTGTAGGTACAAATTTTCGTTGCGTTTCCCAGTCTATTTCGCGTCTATACAGTAAATTATTACTTAACGAATTACAACAAAACCAGTTTATTTTCGGAGGTTATTCCGCAACCCGCATATCATAAATACTATAATACGCGTGTAACAAACGTATTATTTCAATAACCAGTCACTCTTGGGAATATAATACATTTTTTTTCAAAAATAAAACATTCCAACTAGGTATATTGTCTACACACGTGCCACTCGTGGGCATTATAGGTAAAACTACCCCATAGCCAATATGCGTAGTGTACCAGTACCGTGGCCAGGAAGAATTTGGCGGAGGGCGCCAGTGATTTCGAATAACACGAATGTTACCGAATGATTGTTTTGATCAAGTCAATTATATTATCATTGACACTTAATCAATGGTATTGCGTACTCGAGTCTGTCCTGCGAAGGAGAATACAGCCATACAGGTGTTTGTGTAAAATAATTGTAATTATTAATAAACGATGTCGGTTATTACAAGGAAAAACAATGAACCATATCATATTATTAACATAAGCACGCCATAAGCCAAAGCCGCATCTGAAAGGAGGGGGGGGGGTGTGTTTTTGGGGGTTCAACATCCTAGGATATTTTTCCAAAAGTATTGTTTATTTTCACGACAAATGTCAATTTAATAATAGACGATTTCATTTCAAACCCCTGCCGAAGATTTGCTTCAGCAAAGGTCTTGTCGTTGCGCTGAACACCACAATTAAATTACTACGGTTGTCCAACGACCCAGAAACAAGCGTACACCGAAGTGACCATTGAGAATCGGACGAATTCTTGACTGTTAGCTGTCGTGTGACGGCGCGCATAAATACCGAATTACTCCTATCTTCATGACATATTTTAATGGAGATAAAGCACGGGATAAATCTGACGGTATCTTAATCCGCTGGTCACTAACATCGGATTAACATTACTCCACTATTGCATTGTTTAAGTCTTTAGCATGTTAAATTAAATAAATAACTAATGAGTGTGAAAAAATAAAAGAGAATACATTATTAATAACGCACATGACACAATCCGATTAAGAGGACTGAATGAATTGGTGTTGACCGACATTCGAGTACGAAACTATACGCATTATACACGGCAATAGGTACGCGAAGACGAAATATACAACTGTAATATTAGATTCTCACCGAAATCGTTCTCAGGGTCTTTCGCACAAGACGTCCCACATACAAGTGACTTTTAAATAAGATTTATAATTTAATAATACACACACACACACACAATAATATTGCTGAAAAATATGTATGAAAAAAAAGCCCACACTCACCGTGCACCGTGGATGGGTCACGATTGCTGGTAGAACAGTTTATTGAAAAACAGAGCAATAAATTTCGTTTATATCCGTACCTATATATATACGCAACGATGAAATAACTGCGAACGAATATGCGGAACGTATAAATATTCCGTCATATTATAGTTATGATAAACGAACTTTTTTTTCTATTTTTACTTCGGTCTATGGATCAAACATTTTTAATTTTAAACTTAAATCTACAAAACATTACCGGATTAGTTTGTTCGTATATAAATATAAACGTATGACGAATTCGAAAATGTGTATCGCGATTATTTTATATTAAACGCATTGACAATCGAGACGGCACGCACGACAGTCGCAGACGTATACGCTATAAACTTGTTAGCAATTTTTCGACAGGCCATAAGAAAAATAATTTCATACTTCTTTTGTAAACACCCGCGATGGCCCGTACGCACCGTTTCGTTTGTCTATACGTCTGATACGAAATAATCGCGACAATAAATCGAAAACACTTTTTAGTAAAAACCAAACATAACATAACAAGATGCTGAAATAACGTTCCAAATTCTCCCGAGGGCAATTATTAATAAACTAAAAGCCTATCACATTGTTATAGTTAGTGTGACATCCAACTGTATTCATCGAAGTAGAGAATAATTTTGTTAGTGACATTCACATTATGAGTGATTATGACTTTCCTATTGATAATACTGATTTTAAAAATTGCAAAAAATATATATTACATTCGATATTTTTTTGACAATAACTTATTAAATCTATAGCCAATGCCTGGATATGCATTTTTTTTTTCTTATAAATTACTTATTAAGTTCATCTATACCTAGAATAATAAATATTCTACTAAGTTGGTTGTTAATTCATATAAAGAGGCTATTTAGTAAAAATTTAGTAATAAATTAAGAAAATTTGTGTGTGTAGATTTTTAAGCACATGTAGCTATTAAACATATCACTAATAATTATTTTATTCTTCAAATTAAGGATATTTTAATTTTAGTACAGTGCTCTACCATGTATTTTCTTTGATCTAAGTTTAAAAAAAAAAAAACAAAATAAATAACAATTGAAAAATGGATTTTTTTTTTAACTGCCAGTATCATTCAATTTCTATACCAATGAAACAACTATAACAAATCGTCTAAATATTGGATACTTTTGGTCGCTTAAATTGTGTCCACTATTTAGAGGGAGAAATTGTATTTTAATTAAATTGTATTTTTTCATTAATTAAATACATTGTAACAATTGCGTATTTATGAGGGGTGCTGGGAGTTTCCAACCTCTTTCCTTCAGGGATTTTTTTTTTTTAAATTACATTCATTAGCCTTATACGTCTACTGTGCAGTGCGCTCCTTAATTTGGCAGTACAAAGTGATCGATGATTTAGCAAATAAGAAAAGAAAGCTTAATTTTATTTTATAATTTGATTAAATTTATGCATATAATTATATAAATACATATTGTAATAAACTTCCCATTCCCCAAAAATTAAGTTGTAAATACGCCACTGCATCTTAAAGTTACAAGATTTCATTAACACAATATTTAAACGACTGGACGGATAATATAAGATATACAATATATATGCACAGTATATTAATGTACATAAATAGTACTCTATAGTTCTTAATTTATGATAAAAACTATCAATATCAATGTTAAAAAATGTCCATTATTTAGAGGTTTTCCTATACATAAATAATGAAAATGTCCTTGTTCCCGAAAAAATGTCTATTTAGAGGTGTCTGCAAAGGGAGGTTTCACTGTATATAGTTATATAGTATAACTTATAACTAATATAACTAGTTTATATCTTTATTATTGAAGTTACAGTAGATGTTAAAACTTTGAGAGTAAACAATTTGAAGCAGTTTTTTGATTTTACGGTATATATTATAGTGTCAAATTGATATTATTAAATAATATTTAAAAATAAATTGTATAGTCTTTTAAAACCATGGTATAAAAAGTTACAAATTATTAACTATTTATTATTAAAATTATAGTGGTAAAGACAGGCATTAATTAATTTCTTTTTCATTGGTCCATCAAATAAGTTAATCATTTCCGAAAGCTGTTTCTCTTGTTTAATACAGTTTGATAAGCTCTCAGTACATGTATTGGGCAATTTCATATTGAAATAAACATGAACCTAAAGAGTAAAATATAGATATTGTATAATACGAGGATTTTATACACCTATATAATAATAAGTATTTAATTTCTTTAAGCTCATGAAAGACGCAGATCTGAAAATTATTCATTACAAATCAAATATAATTTAAAAAAATGAACATACTTTATTTTTAACAGTTATAAAAACCAAACAGTAAACTGGTTTTGTGTTTGGTTTTACTGTATACATTCCAGAACAAAAGGCAGTAATAGGTTCTCCAAGTTTAAATGTTGCAAGAACTTCACATTTTTGATCCACTATTAAGATTTCTCCGTTCCATGCACAAGTTATTATGTAATCAGGTCTACCATTGCCTACAGGCAACTTATTTATACTAAAAACTTCTTGATCAAGTTTTACAGTTCTTAAAAATCAAACAAATATTACATAACACTATCGTATTTATATTATATTTATGTTTAAAAAAAAAATTGTACCTTAAAATTGTCTCTCCTTGGGCCAACATTAATAAACCATCTAAAGTAGAAATCGCATATAAATCACTAACAGTATTAACACGACGTTGTTCACTATTCCTAGATACACTGAGATCTCCTACCATCTCTGAAGATATATAAATATCACGTAGTTCAGTGGATTGTTCATAAACTATTGTTTTTTCACTGTAATAAAAAAAAAAAAAAACAATTTAACAATTTATGTATTTTTTAATGCCTTACCTTAATTCTGGAAATGCTATGGGACAATAAATACACAATGCAGTGAGTCCTGGCTGAGAAACAAGTAAACACGGTCGATCTTCACTATCCTTGGTTAATATTATTGAACCAATTTGATCAATGCATTCCCATTTATGTAATGGCACAAGTCGTCCAGAAGTTGCATTCTGACTCCAACGATAAGTCCGTACCACTCTATCCGTTAAACCAACAACTAATTCAATTAATCCATCTGCATCAATATCACCTAGTAAAATCACCTAGAATTATTAGGTAAAATTCACTTTTTATTTTTTTATTTATCCAATAGAGAAAACTATTTACTTTAGTGTTTGCTGGAATTCGCTGAATATGTACAGATTCGAGTTTTGCAGTACATTCATTGCTTGAATCTGATTTATTTAAATTTAAACATAAATAAATATGACACCAGCCATCACCAGACACCACAACTAAAGTATTACTACCACAATTCATTAAATCTCCAATTGCTAAACCGGTTATAATACCTAATCCAGATATTTTTTGAATTTGTTGTCGGTTTTTAAAAATGTACACACTACCCTCCATGTTGCCAACAACTAGTTCTACATCATTATCATTATCCACATCTCCGAGGGCAACTGCACTTTTAAATATAGTTCCAGACACTTCAAAATCACAATGGTCAACAAATGATGCCAATTTTATTTCTTCAGCCATAGTGTAACTTAAAAACAAATTTGATTTTCAATTGTTTAATATAACTATTAAAACTATCAAATTCATACAATTCAAATTAGTTGTTAAAAATAGTGGAATCGTTATATATAGTAAAGCTTATACAGACTTACTTATATATTTACCATGCCCGACTGTTTTGAAGTATAGTCTAAGCAAAACAATTGAATTTCCTCCAATGAGAAATGAGAATTGTATTAGATTTATGAATTCGTTATTCAATTATTCTTCAATCAAAATAATTTTATTATTAAAATGTTATCACGTTTTGTAATTCATATTCGATAATGATGATAATAAATAATAACCATGGTTCTAGATACAACCATGATAATAACAAAAACAAATAAGTATTAGCCTAATATATTTATATCATGGGTATTAGTATTTGATAATATATAGATAATAGCTTATCAAATATTCAAATTTAAAATCCAATGAAATGTGTAATTGTCAAATATTATTTTCTCTTTTAAGGCGGGTCCACGCTATATACATGTTCTTAAAATTGTTATGGTCCAACCGGGATATGAGCAATTGTCAGAAAATTGGTAAGAAATTGATTTCTGATTCAGTTTGAAATACTGAAAACGTTGAAAAACAAAATGATTGTATAGACATTTTCATTATCACTATAAAAAAAAAAAAAATGTATCAATAATGTATTAATTTTTTAGTACGTCGATTTTCTATTTAAAAAAAATTTTGTTCAATGGAGCATTTGATTGATCACGATTACATGTGGCCAGGTTAAGATTTTTAAAGCCAAAATCATCTAAAAATGTTTTTTTCATCTATCCGAACAATTACAAAGACATTAATTTACAAGTATTTAAGAATAATAATCAATTTACTTTTTTACAACAAGTAATTAATGATATTATTGGACATATTGTTGGCTTCATTGTTCGTAAACTAACAACTAAATAATTTGTGATGATTGCACTAAATTTTTAACTCGAACCCATTCTTAATCTTGATCATTAATAACCATAAATAACCGAGGTGGATATTAACTATTCACTAGTGATTATTTAGTGAATAAATAATTTATTATACAAGGTTCACGTGCATTAAGCGTTAAATTCTTGCATAAGCAAATTATTTTTCTTTACACCCCTAATATAAAAGTTATTGGATCTCTCCTTATCAATTTTCTGACAACTACCCGGTCCACATCGGGCATCTTTTGCTGCGCGGTTAGAGCACAGAATGGATTAAAAGGTAAGAGTGTGACGTCACATAATACGTTTCACGCGGCAAAATGTGCCCGGTGTGGACCCTCTCAGTGATGATTTACGGGGGGGGGGAGGGTATCCGCTTAAAGATTGAATACGGGTAATGATTGAAGGACCAGATCGGGTCGAGGGGCAGATCACTCCTTTACTAAACGATTTATGTACAAACAACACGTCGCCGCTTTTTTAATGTCAGGCAACCTAATAAGACTGAGCGCTGTAGAATCGGCAACCTAACAAGCCCATAATTGAAACATACCAAACAATATGTGGATATTAATGTACAATGTATTAAATAAATATATATATATAGATAATTTAAACTTACAACGAAGCAAATCAAGATCAAGCGAAAACGAATAATTATTAGATATACTTAAATTTTTACTATGTGATTAAAAATCATATTACTTAAGTACAAAATCGATATTTCTTTTTTGAAGAACATCTTTTTGTACATTCAAATTCTCAAATTCAATTAAAGAACATTTCTAGTTTAGCAACCCCGCGATTTTTTTGGTTTTTTTTTTTGCAATATGTGTTTTTGCGTGCATATAAAGAATGTAAAAAAAAAAGAAGTTTGACGAACTTCGTTTGGAAGTTATGAGAGAAAACTTCATAAAGTACGGTTTTTTCTTTTCGCGTATTTCTTTGTTCGAATTTAACATTTTTCAAATTTTTTTTTTTCAAATGTGTGTTTTTAGACATTTAATTCATTGGTATAATCAAAACGTACCCATCATACTTACTTTTAAAGTTTTTGTTTATAAACTTTAAAAATAGCATTTTTAAAATTAATCCAAAATGTGGTAAAATATAGAAATTTTTTCCGTTGAAGTTAGAATAAGTCTATCTGGCTTTTAGTTATCTTTAGCTATCTTAGTTTTAGAGTTACAGAAGTTCAAACGCGCCATATTTTACTACATTCATTCGGACAATTTTAATCGAAAATAATCCTCGATTTGTTGTGCAAAACCACGTCAGGTAACAAGAAAAAGTGAAAAGCATATAGGTGACATTAGTTTATAATCCAACAAGACAAATTTTGGAAAAAGAGTTAACAAATGACACTTCGTAGTTCGTAGTCCGACAATTCGTTAGAGATTGAGGATGAATCTTTTTAAATAAAATATGTTATTAACTGAAATTATATTTTATTCATTTTACTATGTCTAGGTAAGTCCAATATAAAAATTATTACCAAGTTTCAATTCTCTACGTATACTTATAACCGAATTACAGCTAAAAAATCCCAAAAATTAAAATTCCTTAAAAGCTTAAAAGTTTTGGTAATGATACCGTTAGAAAGAAAATCAAAAAGGCAACAAAAAAGGTGTCTTATGTCTTATGTCTTGTGATTTTTCGATTCAATCATTTTTTCTGGTAGAAAACGTCGTCCGTGTTTTTATAAAATAATGAAATCGTGAAATTGTACATATTTTCTCACTTAAGTGCTTTTATTTAAAAAAATGGCGTCAATAAAGTGCAATCTAAACAACTTGAGCTTTCAGAAAAGGTGCTACAAGTAAAAATCGGAGCAAGTTTACTAGGAAAAAACGTGTCTACTGACTAGAAAAAAAAATAAAACATCTTAGTAAAACCAATAGCTCCTTCGCTACGCTTCGAATCTCAAACTTTAAAAGTATGATGGGTACGTTTTGATTATACTAATAGATTAAGGGTCTAAAAACACACATTTTGGAAAAAAAAATAATTGACAATGTTAAATTCTAACTTAGAAATACACGAAAAGAAAAACCCGTACTTTATGAAGTTTTCTCCCATAACTTCCAAACGAAGTTCGTCACTTCTTTTTTTACATTTTTAATGTGCACTCAAAAACATACATTTTGAAAAGAGAAAACTCGAAAAATCGCGTAGTGTCTAAAATAGAATTATGCCTCAATTAATGTAAGTAATTTAATTTAATAATTATTTTTTATTTGTGGTTAAATCTTTTAAATAAATTGGCATCAGTGCCATTAAATCCAATAGTGGTTTTTTGTTTTAATGTAGGTATTGTTCCTTTATGTGTTCAATAGTATTATCAAGCAATGGAATGTAATGACCCAATATAGGTAGTATTATTCTGTAGAGTTAGGTGGTGATAAGGTGGGTTAGGTCTATGGTTCTAACATGTACTTATTTAAAGCAGGTTTACATCAATATCATACCTATTTATTCATTACTTCTAAAGCTTCATTGTGTACTAAATGTAACTACATTGGTAACCATGGTAATAAGAAATTTATAGTATGAGGGCACTTTTTAGTTTTGAACATTCCTACAGTCTCCCCCCAAATGAAGTACAAGGAATGATATTTTGTATGCACATAAAATTAGTATTAGTATGTGCCTTTAGGGGGTTTTAAACTTGAACCGCTACCCCTGACATTTTAATAATTAAATTTCACAATTTTTATAATTATTGAAGTATAATATTAGGTTATTTATTGTTATACAAAGAATATTTTCACAATATACAATAATTGTGAAACATTTGGACTCTATAATAATAAAGCTTTATTGCTCACAGGTTTTTTTATTTTTTAATAAACAATGTTACATTGTTATACATTATACTATACAATTGTTAAAGGCAATTTTAACACAGTATGTTTGTTTAAAAGTATACATGATTTAAAATTATTTATTTAAAAAAATCAAAACAATTGTTTATCCAAAACTGATATCACAAACAAATAATACAAACTGGAAATGTATGGAAAATAAATAATAATAATATTATATTTTTAATTAATTGACTATAATAGTTGTGATTAATTAAATAAATATGTAAATAATATTTAACAATGGTAAAAAATCATAACAACGTATAGCAAATAATAAATATTAAATTAAATATTAATGTTAGTCGAACTACAGAAAGCACAATTTGTATGTACTCCCAAACAATCAGAATGAAATCCATGGCCGCATCTAGTTAAATAAAATAATAAAAACTGAATAAACTATCATACAAAATAATATAATATTATTAAACTTTATTATATTTATAACATATATACCTGAAGACGAATATTGGTTCTACTAAAAATTTTTGTTTACAAGAGGAACATATTATAGGATTAGCTACACCTCGTTTGGTTGCATTTATGGTTTCAGCCAATTGATTGTGTAAATCATCATGAAGCATTGTTTCCAATAACTTTAATACTTTCAGTTCATAATGACATTTATCAATTAAACCTAAATTTAATTTGAATTGATTAATACTATTATGAAATAAAACCAAAACATGTTGGATAATTTAAGCTGAATTAACAAAAATAAATATATTAAATTTAAATAGTATACAAAATACTTTTAAATGTAAACCTGTTTACTAAACTTACTAGTATTAATTAAATATAATTTTATTCTCACCCATTATAAGATTTCTGAAGTGTTCAATAGTACCAGTTGAACTATTTAAAAGCAGATGCATTTCAGTAGCTAAATTTAGATTGCTATTATCCAAAACTTTTTGTAAATGATCTAAATAAAAAAAAAAAACACACTAAAATACAGTTAAATACCATTTAAGTTAAGAAATTACCATGTGATTGGAGATTTAGAAGACATTGTAATATTGGTAACCATGTAGATTTTGGATCAAGCACTTCAGAGCCTCTTTGGGTTAAAGCCACTAAAACTTCAGTGCATTCTTCAACAGCATTTTCCTAAAAAAACAGTTTTTATTTTTGGTATACAAATTAATTTAAATATACTAACTTGCTGAATGGCGTATTGCAATTTACTGAACAATAGATCAAAAGCGCCTTGAAAATCACCTAGTCTTTCCAATAATATTGCAGTAACATTATCTAGCCCTGCAGCTTTTGTTGCCTAAAATATATTTTTATATTGTAAAATTCAAATAAAACATAACATATATAATAATAATAATAATAATAATAACTCTTACAGCTATTGATTTTGTTAAATGTAATGTATCATTTGATTTCACAAAGTCCATTACAGAATTTGTTTCATGCTGACATAAAAGTTCCAAATAATGAGTACATAGTTTAACATCAGATTTTATATGTGGCCTAAACATATAATGTATACTTCTGTATAATTTTTCATAAAACAAAAAATCAATTAGATACCATTACTTACATTGCACCTTTTAAAAATAGATATCTCTGAGAGTTTTCTATTTGGTTAGAAATATCATACACATGTTGTTGATAAAATGTGCCAAAAATCACTCCACATTTAATTGCATCTATATTCAATAAGGTCTGTACCATAATTTTATTATTAATTTAAAATTGTGTAACAAGTCTATAATAATATAATTAATTAGAAAAAAAAAAAGAACTTTATACATTATCTTTATGAAATAAAATTGAATTAAGAGAAAAATGTTAACAATTTGTTAAAAAGACTAGATTATCAATTACTTAGTCTTTACTACATATCAGTTTCATAATTTGTATATTTAAAACTAGTTGCCTAGACATTTTAATACAAAATAACAACTAAAATATTAAAAAGTTACCTTCACATTTTCACAACACAATTGTTCAAAACATTCTGGTTTGGAGTTGATAAATGAAAATATTTGATGCCTTTTTGAATCATCAATTAAATAATACTTGAACATTTGACCAAATTCACCACGTTCCAAACAGATTTCTCTACATACAGCATAACTAAACAAATTCACATACAATTAAAAATTTAAACTATTATTTTGAATAATGTTTAAAAACTTACAATTTTGCTTTTTCTGCTATTTTCAACAAATCAGGATTGTTGTCAAATGCACCCGACCTTATTAATTGAGTAAATGCTTTTTCTCTTTCTTCAAGAGGTGTTGTTTGTTCTGATATTAACTTTGATGTGACAGTATCAAAAACTTGTTCATCAGGTTTTATAAAATTACCATCTTCTTGTTGCCACCGTATTATAAACGCATATACTAAACCTAACTGATTGGACTTAAAAATAGTAATAGTATAAATTAAGCATGTTAAATTTTAAATATACCAATAACGATTAATAATGTATGCTTACTTTCAAATCTTTACTGTTTAATGTGAGTGATGATAATATACAACAAATACGTTGTTTCTGTTGATTTGTAAAGCGATGATCGGAAAATGCCATTGAAAGGACATTTAGGAACTCAGTTGTATTGAATTTTAGCAAAATTCTATAACATAAAAAATAAGTTTTAAATATAATTTATACAATTCTAAACTTCCTAAAACAAATCCTAAGAGTGTAGACAGAGGTATTTAGAGATTTGGCGCTCTAGGTCATAATCATTTTTACACATGCCCCCTTCAACATGAAAAATAAATGTATATAGTACACTATAAAATATTGTGTTTATAATTATTTTAGTGTTTCTGAATTGTGTGCAGAAATTATTATATAGGTCATGTTACGTGCGCAATTTTTTTTTAAATTTTAGATTTTGCGAAAAACTTTTCTCTTATTTTTAGATTTTACAATTTAAAAAATTTTACTTTTTACTAGATCAAGTGATTGAATTATTAGTAAATAAGATTTATACATTCTTTTTGTGCATGCTCATCTCTCAATATTGTTATTTAAAATTTTATTGTCACAAAAAACAGCGTTCAGAACTGGGTTGTTGATCAACTCTTTTTTTGGTTAGTTTTAATAAAAATATAAAAATAAGTTGTTGTTGAATAAATTACTTTTGTTTTATGTGGTGGGTAATAGAAAGAGTGACTAGATCTTTGAAATATTTAAATATTAATATGATCAATATTACATATTTACCTAAGATATGGATATATATCTTCATCGTCTTTTGCTTTAATACTATGTTGAGAACACAGAAATTGTACAATATTATTTCTAACTGTATCCTGTAAAGGTTGAGGTATATCTCCTCTATTAGGATAAGCAATGCCCAGTAAACATCCACTCAAATAAATTAAAACTTTGTTTCCAAGTTCATTTGTAAGATCATTATACTCTGGAAAATTAAATGAATGAAAGAACTAACTCACTTGAGTATGAGTTTATATATTGTATATTATACCTCCATTTGATGAGGTAACAATTTTAGGAACAAGTTCTTGTAATGGTGCTAAATAATCTTCCAATGCTCTTGTCCAAATACTTATTAAACCATCATACAGTGCATGGGTTCTTGCTAGATTTAATGACTGTTGAATATCTAAACATTCAACTTTTATATTGAGCATACATTTTTCGAGTTCCTGTAATATAAAATTATAATTACTACATAAAGTTTACTCAGAATGAGATTGTATCCTGGTAGTAAACTTGTGTGTATGGGCTGGCTTCTCTCTGAAGCCTTGACCTGGCACGCCAGCATCAAAGGGAGTGTCACATTATTATAGTATTGATAGTAAATGGGAACACATAATTTAAAATGTATAGAGTGGTGTTCATTTTAACAGTGTAGTACTGTACGTAAATGTTACAATCAATGTTTCTGCACACGTAGCACCGCAATAAAGTATACTGAATAATATAAATAATAAAAACAAATGCAATACCTTTATTTGATTTGTTTGTGAAAGGTATGTGAACAATTTTTGAACTATAACTGTAGGAACTTCATCAAATTGTTCTTCACATGAATAATTTTTTAAACATTCCAAGTACAGTTTGCAAGAGGGTTCAATTAACTCTACTCCATCCCATAGACAATTAAATAATAATTCTCTGAACAAAAAAAAAAAATAAATAACCATTAACATTAAGAAAAAGACAAACTGTATTTAAAAATAAATAATAATAATAATTTGGATTTTTTGATTTACACAAAATTATAATATATCACAAATTGTGATATATAGATATACAAAATATTAAACAATAAATAACACTTACATTTTTTTTAAATGCACACACATGTCAAATACAATAGGAATACCTTCCTTGTAATTGGTTGGATTATTAGCATTTACCATTGAGTTAATGTATAAAGTTAAAATATCAATAACCTAATACAATAAAACGTTAAACACAAAAATAAATTGAATTTATTAACAATTGAATAATAACTATGTATGAAAAAGTAAAATAATACCTTCTCCTTTACTATTTTATGTCTATGTGTTCGTGTACCTCTAAGACCAAGAACAGCTTTACCTCGTTCTTCTAAAAAATCAATACCTAATTGCAATGCATCACTAAAAAGTTTCTATAAAAATAATAAATGTTATTTTTAGTATGTATTTTAGTAAATTTTTCATAAAAATTATTACTTTATCAGTTAAACTATCTAAACGTTCAATCCAACTTCTAATACTTATAATGTGAACACTTCTCTTTCCTAATAATATTAATTGACCATTATAACCATGAACTGAACTATAGCAACATTTATCCTAGAGGAATAATTAATTTAGTAAATACATTATATATCTAATCATTCAATTGTATATTAGTTACATACTAAATGTTGACTATCTCTTCCTTCATAGTAACTAGAAGTATAAACTAACATGAGATTTAAAAGTTCTGATCGTTCCATTTCGTCTCCTACACGTACATCAACAAGATAGACTTTTTCTGATGAGTCCATAGTCAATAATGTACGGGCATTCATCCAATTGCAAGCAAGTATTGTGTATGGTAATGTTATCTTTTGTAGAGAGCTACAGCATAGTCGATCTTGGTCATTAATATTAACCTATAATCATTGAATGTAAATTGATAATTTTAGCTACCATTTGAAAAATAACAATAGAAAAATACCTGGTAAAAGTACACTGTATCATCTCGTATAAAAGCTAATACTGGATCCATTATTCTGTGACTTGAATTTGATGTTTTGTTAAATTGTATAATGACAAATTGCCAAGACAATAAAGGTAAACATGGATGCAATGAAATAATATTCTGTGATAATAATAGTTCAGTGTTTGGACGAATGGTAACAATAATAATCTAGAAATTTAATTAAAAATAAAAACATGATTTTTAATATATTTTATTCATAATTTTACTTTAGATAGAGTAGCCATTGCAATTATTACATAGCCATTCATAGGATGGCTAGCTAGTTGATTAAATAACAATGGTTCAATAACACATACTCTTCCACGGCCACCAGAAAACAAACATTTTGGTTCTACACTTCGTATGCCAAAATTTCTTTTGAAATTTAACTCGAATACTGAACCAGCACTATCATTAACAATAGCTAAATTTGGCAAATCTGTAAACTGAAATTAAGATACATTAATAAAATTAGAATTATAAATACCAAATTCAGTATATATTAACAGTACATAATAAAAATCATTAATACAAATATTTAACATGTTTATATCAAACTTACTTTTAAATGTAACACTGCTGTATCTGGTGTATGTGCATCATTTATAACTCTTAGGGTTTTACATGATGTAGAAGAAGAATCAAACATTATAATTGTTCCATTAATATATCCAACAAGGAGCCGAGAACAATCATGATTAAAATCTATAGCAGATACTGCACCACAGTCTACAGCTTCATGATACCATAAGAATGTTTGAGAGGAATTGAATAAAATAATAAAACCTTTGCTAGTACCAATAGCAATAAGAAGTGAAAATTTGATAGCACTAGGTTTTCCGGCATGAAAACGGTCCTAATAAAAATGTAGATATAATTTTTAAATTTAATTGGAGAAAAAATGATATATTTTAAAAAGTATGTTGACAAAATATACTGACACAAAATGAATGCATTTGATTGGACACTGGTTTTAGAATAGTATGACGTAAAATTCGTCCAGGATTTGATTTTATGTATAATGATTTAGATAATTGTTCTAAATGCATGCGACTACTACTTGAACTTTCCAATGAAGTAGAGTCAGCTCCTGAATCATACCATTGTGCTTTCAACTAAAATTAAAATATACTAATGTGTAGAACGTAGATAAATTATATATATATTGTATCCACATAGTGAAATCGCTGATTTCATAAACTGGATGTCTAGATTGTGAATTTTGACAGAAATACAATGTAATAACAAGGAAATCCATTTTATGAAATAGATAATACCTATATTGTACACTTTGTGTAATTAGTTTAAAATAAAATTGATAATATCAAATGTATTTTAATTAATTTTATGTTAAAAACTATTAATTTTGTTATCTTATTGTTTATTTTTACACATCAATTAATGATGACATAGACTATTACAAAGCATGTTATTTTTAAAACATACACACTGACTTGATTGCATTTTTGCCTTACATGAGCAATATAAAAATCTTTGCCTTCCTGAAATTATTTTAATCATTTCACACATTGAAAATTATATATTTTTAATTTTTATCAACCTGATGAACACTCACTGCTAAACCATCCTTTATGTAAACCATACTTTGTTCCGAATTTATCTAATAATTTTTGTTTTCATTCCGTAAGCATACAAATAACGTTTAATGGATATTTAGGCCCCCTATCAACTTTATTATGGTTTATAGTAATTAAAGTATGATTTATCTCATTTATAAATACAATATAATATAATTTATTTTTATATTTTATTCATAAGCAATGTAAAAAGTATAGTTTTAAGACTAAAATAAGTATAGGTATTATCTATTTAGAAATAGATGGCTGTTTCATGAAATGTGTGTCTGTATAAAGTATTTTCATCAAAATTCACATTCTGGACAAATTTCACTACCTGAAAATCCAGTTCATAAAATGAACGATTTAATTATGTGGATGTAATATAAATAATACAATATGTATGAATAAAAAATAAAAGCATAAACAATAAGATATAAAATTAAATAATTAATTACAAGTACCTATAGAATTTCTATTCTTACATAAAAAAAAAAAAAAATGTATCATTTTATATATTTCATATATAATATACATTTTTGTATTAATGGCAATTGATTATAAACTATTATTTTTATATAGGTAGTTACTTTGCATTGATATGCAGTTAGATCATCTTCACTCAATAAAGAAATATTTTCATCATTTAATATACTCTCTACAGTTGGAATTTCATTAACTTTAGGAATATTGAACTCTGTATCATCAATCTGTATAAATATAATTATACATTTCAATAATTATTCAGCAATAATTCTAGAAAGTATTACTTCCGAAGAGCCCAAATCCAGTGATTCTAATATGTTTCTTAATGATTGATTTTCTTGTTCCATTATTTGTGATTCCATTTTAATTTAAATGGACGATTGTTCTAATTCTTACATTCTATACATAAATAAATTATTCAAGATATTATTTATAAAGTATAAATAATAAATTTATTTGATTTAAAAGGTATATTAGTACAGTTGAATAGTTAATGCAAAAAACAAAAAAAACCAAAATTAAAAAATCAATTTTTCAACAAATCTTATACAGAAAAGTAAATATTTTTTTAATGTTTCAGAAAAAATATACTTATTATTTTAATTCAATTTGATATCGTATAATATGGCGAAGAGAAAGAGTGTCCTGAGAGAATTACTATAAAATGGGAGTGACCCGCCCATTAATAAAGAGTAGTTGTTTTTTTTTAAAGATGCAAATTACTGTAATTATTGCACTAACAATCAAAATATGTGAAGATTACAAACTGGGTTAATAATGACAGGCCAGCTTTTGAAACTTCAGTTAATATATTGTAGTCAGTATCAACGTTCGTCATTAGGATTTGTTTTGGAACGATCGACAAATAATATAGATTGATTGTCATTGTAAAATGAAGTTTGAATAGAACAAAACTGTAGGTTATTGACACAGAACTTCAAACATTACAGCGTCTTTAAAGATTGGAATTAAAAAAATTAGGGAAGTTAAACAAAAATCGAATTTTTATATTATACCTTGTTGTAATTTTAAATGTATAAATGCTTTTGATAGACCGCGGATTCGGATTTCGGAATAATTGATTCCGTATTCGATGATAACGACGCATGATACAAATCACGATAAGAATACTCTACGGATTAAGATACTGGTCCATAGACCAGAGAGTAAAACAAAACGGTTTATAACATTAATAAAACAAACAGTTCTTATCAGTACCTGCCTACTTGGAATAAACGATACAGTCAAGAAATTCGTTGGTACAAATCGGTGTACCATGTTGATTCCGATTTATCATACCGGTATGTCAAAACGGATCGGTACAGTACACACCGGTACGTAGAAAGATCGGTTAAAACGTCAATGTCGATTCGTTCATACCGGCGTGTGATACCGATTCGGATATTGTGGTACTGGTTTTACAAGAAATTCGTTGACTTGTAGTTGGTACAAAATACCATTATCCCCTCTATAGTCCATAGTTATTTTTTATCACATAGTACACTCTTCTATGTTATCACAGTTTTCTCTGAATAATTCAAACATTAGTGAATTTTTTTCCGAATGATTATTCTAGTGATACTAGAATGCCGAATGAATAAAGTTTAACAGCAGTATAATTTGGATTACTACTACAATCCGCGTGACCGCTGAAATGAAATAAAGTAGGTGCCTATGCAATTCACTTTTTATTAATTATTAATTATGTATTCAATACATACTTTCAAAAATATGATCATCTACATTGGGACCAATTTATGTTTGATGCCATTATTTTTTAAATTATTTATTTATTAAATAATATTTTAAAAAAAAATTTAAAAAATGTGAACGTTATAAACATAGAAAAAAGATAATATAAAACGAATCGGTATAACGAACCATATCGTTGATATGGTCCGAAATAATAATTGATCAGTATCAATCTTTTGCACACCGGTTTTGTACCAACGAATTTCTAGAGTAAGTTACCTTACCTTATAGATTAACAATTGATTTTTAGTAGTTGTTACTGCTAACTTCAGCAACCATTAATTAGGCATACTTAATCAATATTGCCACTAACTGTGACTGTCGACTACTATCAATTTTAGAAAGCGTTAAAATATAATATATTATATTACAATGTCCAAAGTAAATCATTAAAACCTAGGTATATATTTTAAAATAGCCATTTCTGGTTAGGTAACTTACTGTGTCGTTGGGTTAGGTTATATTCTATATAGCAATGTGTATTTATACACCTAAATAAATAAACAAATATACATCCGATAACCGGTCCTTAATAATTTTCCATTATTCCCCTACGTTGTAAAGTAAAACAAATGGAATAAATACAAATTTTACTTCGCGACGACTGTTTGCGCTTCCCCGGAGGGAAAGGGGGTGCCTCCAGGTTGAAAATAACCGGTCTAATAGGATATTCTCGTTACTTGTCTTATCTTTTTTAACAAAGTAAACTTTTAATAGTGTCAATGTATCATCCTTGGTTTACGGTAGATGGTAAAGGGTATATGCCGATTTAAAAATCAAAATACTGTTGACTGTCGAGGACCCGTTCCTATATTTTATTTTTTTTTATTTTAAAAATTATGGCCTAAAAAAATCTAGGAAAACAGTTTTTTAACAAGTCTTATAATTATCGACAGCTCTCTGCTATTAAGAAAATGTTGACTGATAATTATAAAAAATCCAACCAGGGGGGAGACGATCCTCCGTTGGCCCTGTCTCCACCTAAAGAACTCATTGGGCCGAGAATGGATCAAATGATCCAGGAACAAGGCTTAATCCATCAACAATGACTGCACTGCACTAATGTTAACTTTAATTGTTAACAATTAATTATTTAAATTATAATATATTAAATACAGTAAAATGTAAATTATAATGTACAAATAATTTTAATAATTTCTATAATAATCAAGACAATATTATAATTTAGGTGAAATACATTTGTTCAGGATATTTTTTTTTAATTATAAAAAATAAAATTAATTTATCTATACACTAATTATTAATATTTACCCGGGATGCATTCAGCTAATACGGAAGAAATTGATGTCAACACCTTATAGATAGTCAGTGCAGCAGATCATTGGTCTAATTTTGAGTAGAACAGTATTACACCATTAGAGCTAACATTGCAATGGTGTATGTGAGTGATGAAATGCACCTAAAATATTATACAAATTCAGAATTAGAACTTTGACCGCCTGTAATGAGAAAAATGTTTTTACATACTTTAGGAGGCGTGTATGGATATTTTGGGGTGAATTTAATGTCTAAAAGAAAAACGCCGTCTTCATATACTGAACCTGAAGGACCTATAATTGTGCCGATTCATTCATATTTATTGTCTTCTTTTGGTTTAACGCTAAAATTTGTTTACATATTTTAATATTATTATTTTTTAAATTTTAATATAGACAACAAGAAGTGTAACTACATTACAATCAATGAATCAAACTCTTATTGGTAATACAAATAAACTTAAGAAACTGATAAATAATTGTATTTATTAAAATATCTACAAATAAACAAATTACTAATTATTACATTTTCATCAATTAGCAAAAATTGAGGCCGTATTTAATATTATTGCCACCAATACAGTAATGCCCTTATATTAACATTTCTAACATTTGAAGATTACCATTTAATAGAGTCTATTCTTTTAAAAATTTTAAGTATCAACTTTTTATTTTATTTAATTCGTGATTTGTAATCATTCTTTAAAGTTTGGAGAAAAGTACCTATAATCATGCAATAGGCTGTCATCACATTCGCTAATTGATTATTATTAAATAATAAAATTATAAAGAGTAAAAACAAAATTTAAAAGTCGCGTTTTAATTTTTGACGTGATTTTACTTGATGATGAATTTTTAATTCGAAGCCGGTCGTACAATACATATTTTATAAGATTCCAGGCGTTGCATTTATTTATTTATTTGTATACATTTTTGGTTATTTTTTATTATGGATAATTGATTGTATACTTTATTCTCCTGAACTTTAAAAAATTGTTAAAAATCACGAATTTAATGAAAATAAGTATTATTAATACATTAACATTTTCAGAAAAATGTTATATAATAAAATGGCTTTCTTTTTTATTAATTATTTCTACATTTTTACCAACACATAAAATTGTAATCAAATATAAATATTTGTAGTCTTTATCTCTGTGAGTAATTAAAAAAAAAGAAAAATCAGAATTTGACTATCTTTATTATTTCGGGAGATATTCAAATGGGTATATACATATATATATATATATTCGTGGGATACCCTATATACTCTTTTGTTCTGTGACTCTACATTCTGCCTAATTTATGCAGCTGTTATAAAATATTAGAGCAGGCGCCTTAATTCACATATAACTAAAGACATTTTTTTATGTGTTCCTTTGTGAATTGTATTAGATATATTATTTCAAATTAAACAAATGTTTTTGAAACACAATTTTTAAAAATGCCTATATCTTTAAACTGAGTAAATAATAGTTCAATTTACTCTAATATTAAAAATGAAAAACTGCAGATTACATATTTTCTATGCTGTGTATTGAATTAAATTCTAGTTTGTTTTTAATTTTAATTTTTGTTTATATTTCTAATAAGTTGAGGATTTACTTTAGGAATCAAGTCCATAGATGTAAAATATGCCCCAAGTGATGACGTGAATAGTGACCATAGACATCTTATGATTAAAAGTAATGTTATGAATAAAAATTAAAGAAACCAATACAATAAAGAAAATGTGACGTGAATGTGTCTCATATCATAGCCTCAGCTTATAAATCTTGCATCAATGAAAAATTATAAATTATTCTATGGAAGAAGTATGGAATTCATTTAAGGCAATTAGCAGCTAATAAAAAACTAAAAATAAACACGTTAGAACCTAAAAACCCATGGATCAATGTTAACATTATATGAGATACTTTAGAAACCGACTGCAACCTCGGGACTCACCACTCACGGTCACAATTATCGAACATATCAGTTATTGGAGTAGTATGAGTTGCCTAATACTCAAGCAGCAGCTGCTGATCAATCGGAGAAACATCACTAAAAGGAGCTAACCGTCACTGAAAACAGCCGCTCTCGTGGGTACCACACTTTTGTCTCCCGACAATCTTATTTAAACCTTGTCTCCCGGGCCAACGTCGGATAACAGTTGCAATTTGTTGAAGTGGGCTTGCAATCGACGGACGCTTTCACCCCTACTGTAACTAGGAGACAATTTTCCCACCATTTTAAATAGCGGTCATAATGGATCGTACTTATTAAATCGACCACTAGGGACAACTACCCGATCTGATCGCCTACTTAGATCTCGTTAGACGAATCCGATCTCTTTCATCATTTCTGTAAATACACATATTTTTTCTTAGAAAAAAGAAAAAAAACGTGTGTGAAGTTGACCATTAAATTCTGTTAAAACATGTTCAAACAAAATATGCCAATATTTTTCTATGTAATTATCCAGAATTTTCAAGGTTTTAATTTTTTTTTTTTAATCCAGCCCTTAAATAATATGTAAGGCTAATATGATAGCCATAAAAATTGTTGAACAAGTATTTAGAGAAATATGATAATTTACTAAAATGGATACGTAAACTATACGTAAATATGTAAATATTTTAATGTGAATATTATAACGTCTTAGGATAATGGAGACGCGTGCAGCCGATGTTATAGATAATTTAATGTATACCTGTAAGCAATGATAAACCATTGCTTACGACAAAATGATTCTGAGCGGAGTTCGGTTGATGTGACACTTTTTTCAACAATATATATGTTATTTTATAATAAAATAATTAAATAGGCTTTATATATTTACTTTAATAATATTTGTTTAATGTTGTACCGATTTTTCTAATTTTTCTCAATTTTCCTGATTTTTCCATGTTTTTTCCTAGTTTTCACATTTGCTGAGAAAATCGAAAAATCACCTTCTTAAAGTACCTCCCCATATGGACTTCTATTCAGAAAACGTATGTATGTAGAAATACGAGCAAGTCTTCTAGTAGAAAAGTTTTCAACAGATAAAAAAAATAATATATAAACATCTTAGTAAAACCATAAGCTTCTTTGCTCCACTCAGAATCTAAAATACATACACTGTTTTTATAACTTACTCCGTACTTTCAATATTTATGTTATCAAAAAAAAAAATAAAAACTTAATATTAGATGTATTTATT